TGGGCTGGAGAATGCGGGTCGGCGGCTTATGCTTCACTGTGAGTAACAGGTGTAGGTAAATAAAAACAATGGTCGGTTCAGATGTAAACTTTTTATTCCATCCATTTAGCTTGTTTCATAAAGCCGACATATCCAACCGTACGAATTTCCAGTGCCTGTTGTTGGTGGGGCATCTTTGCTCAGTTTTACTGATAAAAATAAGGGCTTTGACGGCATAATCGCTTTTCCCCAAGGGAGCCAGGATTGAGAGGTTGTCAATTAGGAAATTTTCGTTTGCAAATACAAAGTCTAAGCGCAACCTCATTTGACTGTTTCCCTAACGAGTTGCCGGGTTCGCATTTTCGAATATTCTTAGATCCTCAATGAGATTGAAGAGCCGAGCTTCAGTTGTGTTTTCACCTCCAATATACGTATGTTCCGAGAAATTGACTCTATGAAGATTGAAGTTCCCTAGAATCAGGATATGAGTGAATCCGAGACGCGTAGAGCGGGATATTCCTTCATGCATGCGATTCTCATACTCGATCTCAGCAGCGGGCTTCCTGTAAATGACTCCAACCAGGTACCTCAAGGTGGCAGACACTTACTGAGCACCATACGGATTCATGAAGTTTGATAAACTCTTGGTTGTGCACTTTATGTATCCCCAGGCAAGATCGTAAGTATAAGGCTAATCCACCTCCAATTTCTGTTTTTCTGTCATTGCGAGACAAAGACGTCCCAGGTATTGCGAGCTCCTGATCCGTAATCAGAGAAGATATCCAATTCGTAGATATTCCTATCAGATGAGTATTATTGGCATTAACGAGTTCAAGCAGCTTATCCATTTTATTCGCTAAACTCGTGGCGTTCACATACAAGCAGCTTATGTTTTCAATTTGAAATGCGTGAGCTTCCACGTCCATTCTGCCTGAATGAGCTTTATGTGAATGAACAGACAGCCTATCTATACAAGGTTTTCGAGTTTATATTCCCCGTACTTTACGCGCTTTTCATGATCTACACGGTCCACAGATGAAATGGTCAGCCCCAACTTGCCTTTGTGCTTGATTCTGGCGTCACGTGGTCTATCTGGATGCATATGTTTTTCAGTTGGCAACCGGTGGCTGTAAGCACGAAATGTTTTCAGAAGTGCAACCGGCATATATGAGGATGAGAAGGTTATTTTCATCAGTCGGGGTCTAGAATCTCCGTCCTTCTTGGTAAGTCTCACCACTTGTTCAGCTTCAAGGACTGCTTGATAAATTTCCATTTAGGAATATCAGATTTAATTTAGCCAGGGTCCGTGTTTTCTGTTACCTCTTGCACAATGACATTTCTTCCGCGGAAAAACTCGTGAAATTCTTCAAGGATGTTCCGGATGAGGATGCTCTCAGAATACGGCATATCTGGCAATATTCCCAGCCCATTACAGTAGGCGACCAATAATAATAATTTATTCTCCAATAACAGTCTGTTACATGAGGCATGCCAGTTTACAAGCAAGATCAAATTGTCACAGGAGATACAGTCTTCACTGTGGTGGTTTACCCGGTTATTTTGTAGAATTATAGTCTACTTCGTTATTAGCACTGCTAAAATAATAGACCTAATCCTAAAATTGTAGATTTGTCATGATGTAACTACCTAGTCTATAAGATCTTAAGTGGAAGTCACATTATTATCTACACCAACTCACCGCGTCGTAACAATCATCAATATATGATGTGGAACACATTCAGGCTGGAGATAGAACAATATATTTAATATGAAAAGGTATAAGTTAACACTCAATAATGATCACGCCTGCTAGGCCGAGCCATGCCATCTGACCAAGTCGAACAAATGCTATTCATTGTTCCTGCCTTCCTTATCGTTGGTTTTTTCTTCGTGTTAAACGTTGAATATCTATTTTCACAATTGTCTCCTGTTCAGCTTTGAGGATTGCGTGATTAGGGCTCAGTGTCACTACAATTTTGATATTCTATAAGGTATAATGATCATAAGAGTATGGGGGATAATACTTCTCACATGTGAATGCGAACAGTATTAGTCAGTAAGATTTCCTCTGCGTCGGTAGAGTTTGTTAGTGTTACACGCAGTGGTCTCGGGTGATATTTATGCTTAGAGTCCTTTCCCCGAGGGAGCCATATAACCATCAAAGGCTCTATTTTGGAAAGTTCAAGCTTTTTGTTTAACCCTTCCCAGAGCATCCTATCATGTTTATCCTACAAACTGAGGGGAATATCAGAGCTGTCTTTAAGGTTCATGATTATGAGAGAATCATCACTAACAGTTGTTGTTTTCCCTGGTTTTCGTGTACATTCAGATTGAGAGCCTTGTCGTTTGGAAGTCGAAGCGCGTTCCCGATTCCTATGCTCTTTGCTGACCAGTTGGACATTCTTGGGAGTATAATGTGCTTCCAAATCACCAATTGGTCTCCCTACAATGCCTAAGATGTTCAGCTTCCTAGACGGTGACGCCTGGTCTTTCTTATCTTTGTTAACGGGGTCCAATCACTTACTAAGAATTTGGGAACCGCCGTTACATTCAGGGATCCTGTGCTGGGAGACCCAAGTCTGCTGAGGAAGTCTAATACCGTATATGAGATAATGGTGCTGAGGTTCGGCACGTCCTCCCTAGTGTTATTACATGCTCCATCGATAGTAGCGTTGTCGAGATCCCTCTTCTTATTTTCACTACTCGCCATTGATCGTAAACCCGTTTTTGGACTGTCATTTTCCGGTTCTCTGACAACTTATTCCGCAGACCAATCAAGAAAATGATAATGTTGACCAGCAACACCTCAGCATTCGTGTTGCACGTGACATATACCAACCTACGATCCGACTTACCGAGTCTGTCGTAAGCAGTTACTGTATGGTCTGCGCACGCTTCCTGGAACCTACCTTTGCAATGGTCATACTGCATGCCAGATGTAACAACAAAACGACAAACGGGTCGCTCGCATCAATTCTTTACAGCTATAGTGATGTTCATTGTAATTCTGATCGGAGTAAAAGTTTGTGACCGTAAAACAAAAAACGGTATACCGAAAACAGGTGGTGCAAAAGGTTAGCCTTGACGTGGAAAATTGAAAAGCCCGATAGTAAGCTGAGGCAAAACAAGAGTTAACTAGTAAGTTGGACGAAACCCAATAAGTAAAGTGATCTGCCGAACGTAAATATCGGGACAGATTCTTTAGGTCTGAAATGGTACTTTTGTTGCGTAAGGACACAACGAAAATTCGAGAAACGCGAATCACTTTAGAACTATACTTTCGGTTCGCAAAGTGCGTGCTTGTTAAATATGCACAGGTTTCTACCTGGAGGCATCAGCGATCAACCAATACTATATACAGAAGACCCTTGACTAAAATCTTTTTCTGTCCATAATCATTTATCCCTTTTAATTGTCTCAACACGTATGGTCCACTCTGCTATACTGAGGGAAGCAGCTTCAATCCTGGCAACACCGCTTAGAGTGATGTTCTCACATTCGCTAAGACGAGGTAAACTACCGAGAAATTGGAAGCTGGCTCATATCACACCAATTTTCAAAGGAGGTCGACGCAGCGAATCTTCAAGTTACGGAGCAGTGGCTCTTCTCTCTATACCTTCAAAAATCATGGGGTCCCTGATATACGATAGTATACACGACTATCTGCTGTCCTTAAATTTCTTATCACCCCAGCAGCATGGTTTCAGGAAGGGTTACTCCTGTATGACGAACCTGCTGACTGCGGTGGACAGATGGACAAGCATCCTTGATCGCAAGGGGGAGGTGGACATCATTTACCTTGATTTCTCTAAAGCTTTTGATAGGGTTAACCACATCTGTCTTATTAACAAGTTCAAACAATTGGGTATCAAACCATCTTTAATTGACTGGCTCAGTTCATATCTGACAAATCGACATTTTAAGGTCAGATTAAACTTTAATTTCTCAAAGGCTATGGAATGTCCTAGTGGGGTCCCTCAGGGCTCAGTACTAGGACCTCTCCTATTCCTGATTTATATAAATGATCTTCCTCAACAGGTAACGTCAGACGTATTGCTTTTTGCCGATGATGTGAAACTTTGGAGAGAGAGATACGCAACCAAGAGGATATACAGGCACTTCAGGATGATCTGACTCGACTTCAAAGTTGGGCAGACGACAGCGGACTTACCTTTAACACTTCAAAGTGTAATGTAGTCCATCTGCGACACGTCGCAGATTACAGTAGCAACTTAGGAAACTCCTCTCTAGTAGTATCCCGAGTCGAAAAAGATTTAGGAGTTCTGGTGCCCTACGACTTTAAGTCTTACGCCAAATGTGACAGAAATGCCTTTCGAACAAACCTTGCACTGGTAACATTGAAGCGCATTTTTGTTCAGTTTGACGGGAGGATTTTCCACATAACCTTCAATAGTTTCATTCGTTCCCATTTAGAGTACGGAAACATAGTATTCCCTCCTACACTCCAAAAGGATAAGGACACTCTGGAGCGTATCCAACGGCGAGCCACGAAAACAGTTCGGGGACTCAAATTTAAACCTTACGATGAGCGCCTCCAATCACTCGAACCTTTACCCATTAGAGTACAGGCGTCTTAGAGGTGACCTTTTAATGACTTACAGTATCCTTAACACTCCTGGACATCCTCTTGAACACCTACTTAAGCTTAGTCCCAACACTAACCTAAGGGGTAACACCCAGAAACTAGAGATGCAACATAGTAGAACGGACTGCAGACACAACTTCTACTCTTTAAGAGTTGTCAAATGCTGGAATTCGCTGCCAGATGAGCTAGTCCAAGCGCTTTGGCAGGAGTCCTTTAAGAGGCGACTTGATCTATTCTTAAGGACTAAGGATAGTATCTTACTATGATTTGCCAATTCGTTTTTCTCTTTTATCGTTAATATACCTAGGTAATTGCCTGGAGATATTGGTGATCCCCTGCTACTAGACACGGAAGCCTGTTAAGCGAAAGCTTCTTCTATTCCGTCCACAACCATTTGAACCATTTGACAAATAGAGCAACATCTGAATCGTCTTGAGGTCGTCCGAAGGTCATACGCGTCTGTTGTGTAGCTCTTTTGCACATTGGTACGTTAAGAGTTTCTATTCCATAACAAAGTGAAACTCTACTATTTTAACAACTTTGAGGATTGTAAACTATCCTTTCGAAATTTCACCTAGTCATCAGTTAATCAGAATACAAATGATGTAGACGAATTAATTATAATGGTCGGTAATATCACCGACCATTATATATATAGCATAGATTAGGGAAGATCCTCAAACATTCTCGGTGAGTTCTCAACCAGTTTTTAGCTAGCCAAATAGCGGCTTTTGCAGAAGGGTGATTTTTAAAAAAGAACACGACATTGTCATAAAATCACAAACCAATTTTACGTGGCTAAAAATCGGTTTTTTAGGTAACTCTATCTGTAAGTCGAGAAAAATAACATTTAAATTAAATCAAAGGAAAGTTAGTCCCGAGTTTTTTCAAACCCTTATAAAATCCTATGTAGATTATTAAGTCTACATTGATCTTGTTTTGGGTTGAGCCCTTATGGTAGATGCAAACTGCTTAGTTGGGGTCCGCGTGACTATCGTGACCAATGATTGGAGACTCTGGGTGACATCGCTACGAATCGATCACAATGGCTTAGGTGTATACACTCTGTCTACTCTTAATCTATGAGATTAAAATCGCTTCATATCTTTCTACGAACTAGTTCTTTCTTTCTGTACCATATCCTTACATAAGATCTCTCTTTTATATGTTACACCATTGAGTTAACTGTTTCTATGAATCCGGTGTCTATCTTGCTGTGCTAATGAGATATGGCAACTTCGGCCGATACATATTTGTGCCTGATCCTACGTCGTAACTGACTGACTTATTTTAATGATTAGGAGTACATGGTTAGCGTTTCTCACCATAAATTTTGATCACCAACAGTACGAAATTGGTTTTTAAATATAAATGAATAAGTCCCGTGAAATTTCGCAAATTTGGGTTTCAAAACCTAAGGGATGTTATCTGGTTGGTCAGTCCAGTTGGTCAAGATTTATTTGAAGATTATTTATATAGGGTAACATTATGGGGATAATGTTCATTTGCCTGTCATGTGCGATATACAGGAAAGGAAATGAGGACTTAGTGCTGCTAATATCTTCTACTTTCATCCCATGGCGTCAAAAATGGTTTTTCGTTGTCATTTCAGACGTTCTGAGTACTATACAAAAATGTTTTTACTATTGGTTATACCTGATGTTTCAGTTTCAGTCAGGATCCTAAGAGTCGCATTCTTAATATTGAATTATTCGTCTCTGTACCATACTTTTGCCGAATGATCTTATTCGGAGAACAAAACTAGACGTGTATAATTTTCGTGCAGAAGCTATATTCTTCTGACGAACGTACCTTATTCAAGATTATGGCTCATAGGTAATGAAGTAGATTCACTCAAAGCAGTTTCGCTGCTCATATTATGAATTACACTTCAGTTTCTTAATTCCCTTGTTTCGTGTATTATGTGGTTGTAATCTCTATAACTAGAACTCTGTTCTTTTGTCTAATTTACTTTAGATGTCTGATGGTGAATACCTTCCTGATGGTTCTTTAATTGACTTAGCTGGAGTAGACTGGAGAGACGATATATTACCTTTTGAACTCATTTTGGTTAAACCTAACTCACTTCCTGATCCAGAACCCCAACCTCTTGGTACTCAGCGGTGTTCTGAAATTTCGAATTCAGATATTTTTGATAACATTCGCTGGAATGAGCTTGATCTAGATAGCTTGCTTTCTCACCTTAATCTTCCTCCGTCTTTGTAATCATTGTGTTTACAGACTGTTAACTTTGCTAATATGACAACAACATGGTCAAAATTAATTTCCCGGGCTGAAAAGTTAATTGGAGGTCCCTCACCATATATAAATTTAGGGAATATATTATCTTCTGAAGCTGGTTCTTTAGCATCGCGGGCTCGACGACTGGCAGGAAATGTTAACCATCCATTTTTCTCAACCGTACGCTCGTGTCTCCGAGGCAGATATGTTAACAACTTATTTTCTATTTCCTCTGCTATATCAGATCGTTTTTCAAAATCTGTAACATCTGAACGTCCCTCTGGTGGACTGATTATACTTTTAGTTGGCCAGTCATATGCTAGTCCCACAAACTCAACAAAATTGTGTAGTCAACATCGTAGTATCTCAGAAATATTCGAGACTGTTCATACTGCAGTAGCTATTCATAAGTAAGTAGATTTTCATACATTGTAAAGTTCATGTAAACAAAAGACATAATAGAAGTGAGTATTTTAAGGTTAATTTCCCATACAATTATAACTATATAACTGCTTAAACTATTAATCACTGGGTTCATAAAATAATATTTCATATAACAAGTGTTCACAGACTATGGTTCTAAAAGTTTTACTCAGCGTAACGGATCGACTTCACAAGCAACCGTTGCGTTTAGATTTTAAATCAATACACAAAGTTAGGCAACTCCATCTCTCCATACTCCAGTTAAGATTAGTCATGTGGTACATGCGAATCATGGTTATTAGGCATTTTAATGTGTTTATATACAAAAGAATAAAATGCTTTTTAGTAAACTAATGGTCATTATGTCGTATTCAGGTGCGTGGTAAGGTTATATTAATGTAACTGCTCTTGTTATTCCTTATATAAAGTTCAACACAATACCCAAGTCTATGTCCATTTGCTCAGCTTTGTGATATTCTAGTTCTTGAAATTAATGTTATAAGCTATAAGTTAGTGACCGTAAAGCTCAGTGGTCACAGGTTTTAATTTATCTTTATCTAATTTAGACAGTCGGATGGTATCACTTACTAGTCTATGAAGCCATTGACAATTGAGCCAAGTCATGTTAACTAGTGTAGACTGTCTCTAACCAGTGATTAGGGACTTTGAATGATATAGTTTAGAATGGTGTAGGTGAATCTATTCTTTGTCTTTCCCTGAATTCTGTGTTTCTCATGACTTCGTGTTTTTATCGTACTGGTTTATATTTCCTTGAATAATATATTCGGTGCATAATCTTTTCTATTACCGCTGATATTGTTGCTGCCTCTACTATTCTGGTGTTAGGTCTGACAATCTAATCTCTTTGTGCTAATAGGGTATGACATCTTGACCCGATGTTCACACATAATAGGTTCTACGTTGCAACTGACTAACTGTTTGCTACTGATAACTAACTGACAAACAAAATTAATTGTTTTCAGGTATTACTACGTCATTCTCTCATTTTCTACACATTAATTTTCTCTTTGTTTATTCTGTAGAAGTTTAGTCAATTTAAATGATTTGAACCAAAACACTGATGACAATGAAACATGGTTGAAAAATATGGAAATCTGCAATAAATTGGCAACCTTATCTGGAGATGTTCTACTTGCATCTGTCTCTACCAGCTTAGCTGAATTGCATCATGCTAACGTACGGCGATTTGGATAAATCATTATACATATATCATAGGGATAAAAAACTATCTAAGAAAAAGTTTGTTTAATTGGTTTCAGATGTATTCCCTAGTATAATCATAAAGACTTCTGACTACTGACTCCCAGATTCAAACTCCGCCTCTCCTACTGCGGTTTCGACAACCGGGGTAGTATGATTAGCCGTCAAAATTAGTGTGTGGCTCGTACCCAAGCACATAATGAATGACTTTGTACATTATATGATTGTTCATCATAAAGAAGTAAACATAAAAACATGGTTTTCAGTGTTCATTAAATCTCAGTTGATTAGTTACCCTGTCAACGTATGCATTTACTGCTTATGAATTTTTATGTTATTCGAAAACCGGCTCATAAAGAAATATTTATAAATAATAGCAAATATGGTGATGCATTTTGTATATACCAACAGTTAATTCCCATAACAAACTCTTAATCTTAGGTAACTAGTGTCTGATACCTATCTGAACGATCTAGCAGTTTAAAGCCTACCATCTAATCGAAATGTGCACAGTCAATAAAAGATAACATAAAAAAGAGAAATTATTGTATATATATATATATATATATATATATATATATATATATATATATATATATATAATTAGTCATATTATTCGCATCTTACTGGCTTATTCTTCCCAGCTGACTAAAATCAACATCTTTGTATGACTGGATTAGCTTTTAGTATAGATTTGATTGGTAAATTTCATATGTTCTGTGATGGTTTTGGCAATTATTTTGACAATATTGCTGGACGAGGCATTGGAATTATTTGATTCTAATCTGTGAGGTTATTTCAATCATAATTTTTACACGCAATGTCTTGTACATACTAAGCTCCCGATTTCTGTCAAACTATTTGTTAAAATGTTGATGAGTATTCGTATATGTTTGATCATCACTATCAAACGATTTACTAATTGTATCCCATAAACTACGTCTATCATATTTGTCTTTCATATTCATTCTTTTGAACTCACCGTCATCCCGATAGTTTTTTAAAGTACCTCGTTCTATTTTGAAAATAACTAGGTTGTTGGTGTCGTGTCTGAAGCAATCGGAAATATGATGGAGGCTGAATTTCACGAGTTAGCTACCAATTTAAATGTATCACATACCAATAATTACAATCATGTTAAAAGTAGTATTGATGTCAATTCAACTGTAACGTTTAATAAAATATATGAACTATCGAAAGAAAAGTGGCTTTCTTTTGTACAATTATCACGTGGTGCTCTTTTGGGAAGTTGTTGTGAAGCTGCTTTAATTCTTACCGAAAACCATATATCTAACCTGTCTATTACACCAACAAATAAAATATATCCAGATTGGGATAATTTTTGCTCTATTGCAAATAATTTTGGATCAACATGGGCTTGTTTAATACGGTTGACTGAAGAGAGGGAACATATTCAGCGCACTTGGGTAAGGATTTATTAGTTTTTTGTTTGTTTTTTGGTTTGTGTATACATTTACGCTAAATTATTTCATTATTAAGCTGTACAATTCTTTGTGTATGAACTTGTAAATATTTATTTCATAGGGACATGTGATTAATGAGTAAACAGAATGATTTAATAGAAAGGTTATAATACTAGATTACGTAGTGTACATAACAACAATAAAATATTATGTGTAGGTAAAAATCCTTGTGAGATTAATACGTTAACAACGGATTATGATCTGAATGCTGTAAAATAATTAAAAACGTTCGTAGACTGTAACCAGAGTTTGCTTTCAACTTGGTTACGAGAACACGTTCCAGTGTGGTTTTACAAAAATGAGAGAAAAGAAGTTGGTAGTTCTATTCTTGAACATTTAATCGATTCTAGTCACTCCACTAATTGATTGAATTATTTTAAGATCACGTACAGAATTCGCCCAAATTTACCAAGTTTTCTTCATATTCAACTCTTTAAAACAGCCGAATCTCTTGCTATCCGTGAGATGAAGCTAGAACTGTGCGTACAACTGAAGTACGTCTTTCATTCAGCTTATCTATTATATATAATTATTGCGACAAGAACATTTTAACTACCTTACTCCATTCACATTAGAATCCATTGTTAACGTATTAATTTTATAAGAATTTTTACATGCACATGCACGTAATATTTTATTGTTATTATGTACATTACGTAATTTAGTATTATAGCCTTCCTATTACATCATCATGTTTATTCAATGTTGATACGTCCTCATGGAATCATATTTATAATTCGCCGAACTTCGTGTTTTTAATTATTACATTGTAGAAAATTTGCAAAGATAACTAGTTTTAGATGGTCAACTGTATTGGTACCTTGCTTTATTGATAATAAGCAATTATTATATTCTTTTCCCTTATACTAATAATAACTAATTGACCCAAACATCATAAACGTATGTAGGCGGATGTTAAGGCCGAAACAGGTGGTTTTCCAACCTTTTTAGTTATAAGACTGCATGAAAGCGAGAAGCCGACACGGGAGACGATGTTGTTTCGTCATCTCAGCTTCGCACCCCCACAAGTTGTGATTCAGATGGAATCAAGGATGAAATCTACTGTTTACTAAATTATCTCGACTTGCACGTTCGGGAGACATAGTTGTATTGTCTGGGGACATGAATAAGCAGAGGAGAGTCGTTTGAAAAGCCATTGTGAACTAGTTGGTGACGGGCCAAATAATTGTGAAGGCTTTATGCAACCTTGTGCAGAACACAATCTGTTTCTATCGAACACAAATTTTCACCAGTCACCAATCATATGGTACGTGACATCCTCTGTCTGCAACTCAAGGATACTCTCAGACTAATCATGTTACGATTGGTTACATCTGAAGTGGATAGATGTAAGACCGCTGCTCCTGTTTTGGTATTTATCTGCATTCTGCCCATACCCTGGTGAACACCATATTTATCTTGATTTTCGTGACCACTGAACATCGTTCCAAATGAATTGATAAGAGAAAATTGACTGAATCTTCAGTTCAATGCGATATCAAACTAAGATAGGCTAATCAACGTTCTTTTAAAGTGGGAGGAACAACTAAATAAAATATGTTCTAATCACTCACCTACAAACCAGGGAAATATTTATGAAGTTTATATATTCGACTATAAGCCTTTAGTATAGGGGCTAGTAGTACTACTAACTAACCTATCTAAACTGGGAAATATGGGAGATGATTCAAATATGCGATTTGTTGGTTTAACTCTGTATAAATTAATAGCTGACTGTTAATCATATTCTATTAATAAACGTTTGCATCATATGTGTGTATGGTTTTTAACTAAAACTCTGCTAGCATCGTAATTAATAAGATGTCGATATCCATATTTTTTGATTAAAATGCATTTTCATAATTATGCTTTGTTACTATTATTTGTTTTTCTACTTTAAGTCCACCAATCAAACTACTGATGCATATTGGTCTGTAAAAAAAGAAATGCAATATATGAAAAACAATATGTATGGGTACCAAACAGTTATTCCATCTTATTCAGAATATGGTTTAAGTGAACCAACATTTGCAGATGCTCTGCTACTCTCTTTGTCTTCATCAGAAACGCATTATAAACTCATTGATATTCTTGATGAAGTCCTATCAGAATATAATAGAATCGGACATGAATTAGCTCAGAAATTACGTGAATATTTTAATCAGATTGTTTTCAATGCAGAACAATTCAATATTATTAGTGATAACATTAACTCTATTCATATAAAAGAAAATAGTAATTGTTCGCCCGGTATACTGTTGTTAGGTGAAATGGTAGACAAACTTATCACTGATTGTAATCGTTCTTCATGAAAAGTTGAATAGAAAAACTAACAAACAAACAATCATAATTTTACTAGTTCTTTGCTTAATCTATCTAGTTCTCTCCTGCAGTTTTCGTTCGGTATATATATATATATATATATATATATATATATATATATAAATGTTATTTTCTATTTTATGGTGTGATGTAGTCTGTTTGGTTTGTATATGAACCCAGTACGTTTGAAATACCTGATTTACATAACAGAGGCTGAGATTTGTGTTCTGGACTCAACGGGCAGGGCTAGAAAGGAAGAAGGACCGATGAAGACTCTAGACTGATCGTAGGGGTTTTATGTGTCATTGGTCCGGTTCATGAATCACTGTTCTCTAAGTGGCGGTATCATTACATTATATATTAATAGGGCACAAGGCCATAAGTTGTAATAAGTAGTAGTAGTGAACTCAGTAACAACGATCATATTAGTGAATTTATGGAATCTACCCAAATTTGAAAAATTGATAAGTACAGCCAGACGGTGATATAATAGATCTTCAGAATACAAGAATAAAATGCGTTAATTATGAATCGGGTCATACTAGAGGTTTGTTTGACAGTTTTGAACATATATGTTACATCTAGAACTTAGGTTCCTAGTATTCCGCGTATTACTTGAGCAAATTGAACGCTACAACCCACCAAGTCACAAATGTGAAAACAAAAGACAAGTGAAAGGAATGCTATTCCAAACAGTGTCAATTATGGTACAAAACTGTCAGGTATTTATAGTCTTTAGTAAAAACGAAATCATCATTATAGTCCTCCAATTCACATACAGGGGCTATTAGCATTTGTCCAACAGGGAGTTACACGTAAGGATTCGGGAATTTCCTCCAAAAGACGATTGGATGGAATATCTTCGGTCCTTTCCGGGCTTCTTAGAGCTCTCTTGAGTTCACTGGTGGGCCTTCGTCACAATATACCCTCGAGAATATCATTTGGCAAACAACGAATACAGTATCTCACACATTAATGTGAGGGTAAGGAATGGGATATTTTCGAGAGTTCTGCGTTTCTGAAATCGTCAAAAAATTTTCCAAACGACTAAAAAGTTGGAAGGGTGATTGAGGTTCCCAAAGATACGATCGAATTAACCGTAAGCGAGATTCCGTCAAGTGATCAACAACATTTACGGCATTGTCACGACGATAGTAGATGTAGGATAGAAACTTAGGGCTTAAATTATCAAACCAGTTAGTTAGGGCTGTGCGCAGGAAGTGATACACGTTCCACACTCAGCATATATGCTAGCCATGATTGATTTCTTTTCGTCTACTTTTCTGCTCGATTTAAGCTTATGCCGTCGCTCAAGCCAGGTCTATCTGGATTTAGTGGCTGGGTGGATGATGCGATAACGTTTGAAGTACTGGACCCTAGTAGCAAGTACTTGCAGTTCGTTCCTATTGATTCCTTTAGTTGTACATTTCTGTCAGTCTTTTTCATTCCATTTGAGCTGGTGACGTTTGTATTTTATTATAGTTTTCATTCTTCTTACTCCTTCACTAAGTTTGTATGTTTAATCCTGAACTGCATTTATGTTGTTTTACTTGATAATTGGTGTTGACGACAGCCATATTGGTTTGCTTTTCCCTTTGAATGTGTTGCTTGTATTGACTGGAATTGTACATTTTTCATTGTGATTTGAGGCACTCTTCCAGAATTGATAACACTCTGTGTTATAAAGCAACCAAATATGATTTTTTGAACGAATCTATGAGTAGTCTATCCAGACAGGATAGAATAGCATTTATTTGTTGCGACTGGTTTGATTAATTGAACGATTATTGGTTGAGTAGCTGGGTGGTCATATTTTTTCAGGACCGTCATTTTACAAAATCACTTTGTTTTTACCTGAAGTACTTGAGGTCAGAGCATAAGATGTGATGGAGTTCTGATATTGTTATGCTCAGTTACTTCGGCGATATCTTTAAGGTTCTTCATGAGATGATTAGTTATTTTGTTCTGTTTACGTAGTGTGAATATTAACCTCGTAGTTTTATAACAACCCACTGGAAAGTTACTACTTTGCAATTTTATTATTAGACTATGAATTCACTTCAATTTGGAAGAATCAATGAATATGTCACAAATATAAAACTTTCGTTTAAGTTCCCATACTAAATCTAGGTTAACTCTGAGTGATAGTGGTATGCTGGGGATGATAGATCCCAAAACTCATGGTTTGCAATTTCATCTTTTGGAGCTTGTATGCGTGGGCATTTCTTACCACCCACGCATATGGTCGATTGACGGACTTATCGATTAGATGTTTAAAAGCTCCATGGCAACATCGATTATATATATTTGTATATATACGTTTTTGATTTGTGTTTGTTGTGATAGCTCGTTTTCTGGCTGTTGCAGAATATACTTCCTATTCCAAGATTGAACTTCTCCCTCTAGATAACAGGGCAGGGACGTATCATAAGCTAGCTTGCTGGTCTTTGGTCACCGAGTCTTGTTCTCGTTCACAGATTAAGTAAACTCGCGATAGCTTCAACCCTAGCATCCTAATACAACCCTGAATTCAGATGGACGTTAAAATTAGAAACAGAAAAGCAAAGAAGAGAAGGTGAAAGTGCCTATTCGCATATGATACTGAACGCAAGAGTTAAGATAATTCGAAATAGATAACACGTAGAATGACGAAATTACAGGGGCTAGATAAAACAATGAATGACGGACTTACACAAAAACAAACTGTTGTGTAAGCGTGAAAATGCAAGGACGTGAATATAAAGCCGCGTATTAGTTCAATGTTGTCTGTGTTATCAACGTCATTCTAATGATGAGATTATTCATATAAAGCCACAGTAGTATTAGACATTACGGTTTCTTTGAGGATTGTATCATGTTCAGATAAGAATGTATTTTATTGTTTGATTGATTCAATAATACAGCTAAAATAGATTTAGAATTACAAAGATAAAATCTATGCAATTGCGATGAAATGGGAGTAAGAAGCATGCACATCACAATACTTCATGGTAATTGATCGAATTTCACACTAGTGCGGTGAAGTAACATTCAGAAAATAACTCGGCGAAAATGGCCAAGAACTCCAAACTCATCATCTCTCATAACTCAAAAGATAAATGAAATGGACCCAGATCACGGCATCAGTGCGAAACCTAGGTTGATAGAGAGTATATTTCCAGGCGGAACACCAAACCAGAACACATGGTACCCATTAAAGTACAGGCGTCTTAGAGGTGATCTTCTAATGGCTCGCGGCGCTTCTGGGCATCCTCTTAAACACCTACTTAAATTAAGCTTCAACACAAACCTAAGGGGTAACACACAGAAACTGGAGGCACAACACAACCGAATGAACTGTTGGCACAACTTCTACTCCTTAAGAGAGGTCTAATGCTGAAATTCTCTGCTGGCTGAGTTAGTCCAAACGACTTTCCTGGAGTCCTTCGAGAGAAGACTTGACATATTCTTACCGATTTCGTTTTGCTCTATTATCGTTATTATACCTCGGTTCCTGCCTGGAGGTATTGGTGATCCACTGCTACTAAATATGGAAGCCGATAAGCGAAAGCTTCTTTTATTTTGTATACAACCATTTAAGTCATTTGAAGCACCAAATAATTCTGGTTTTAGAGTGGAAAGCACAGGAGACTGAATAATTTATGGCATACATCTTCTGGCGTCTTTCTCACGAACATGTAAATGCGGTTGATATCCTTTCTTTTTTTGTTGTTTCGGTGAGAATAAAGGTATTCGGTAACTTTCTTGGTGACCCAGAAACCTGACTCCAGTTAGATCGGATGAATGATTGTTATTGAAGCATATATATAACCTATCCTCGTATATAATTATCGTCTTAACTCGAGTTAGTGAATAAAGGAATTAAATAGGCCAAGTACAAAAATAGGTTTTGAATGTGTGTACTTCATGCACTCGGTGATTTTAACAGACAATCAGGGAGACGAAACAAAGAGGGAAGAGCAAAGCGGATTGGAGTAGGCAAGTGAGCTAACTCGAGTTAATCAAGCGTTAATCACTATTTATGGTCATAAAAAAATAAGCTACAGACATGTGATGAGTAGGATAAAATGTGCACGCACATACACACACCTAAAAAGGGACAGAATAAATAAGCTAATTAGTGAAAAGTTAAAAATGTAGTTTAAGAAAAATGGATAAATTGACTTTTCTGGAAGCTAGAATAAATTATGTGGGTTTAACTTAGCACTTAGTAGAATAGCCACTCGACTGCACTGAATCTAGTGGTCACTTCAATTGGGAGAACACTCCCACTAGGGGCAACTCTTAATGAAAAATGGGGTGGCCTAGGTTCCTGCCTGGAGGTATTGGTGATCCACTGCTACTAAATACGGAAGCCCGTTGAGCGAAAAGTTCTTTTATTCCGTCCACAACCATATGAATCGTTTGAGCTGTAACTTGACCTAGACGGCGAATTTCATTCTTAAGGTCGTTACACATGCATAAGGTGGCATCTGAATTTGCGGTCTCAAATGGTATACTTACGTAAATATTTTCACGGTCTATAGGAATTCTTAAGGTGACCGACGAAAAACCATCTCTTCTATCATGTACTTTTTTACCATCTCCGGTACCAAAATTATTACTATGTCGTGCTCAATCAATCCAATGTGATTTTAACTTGTTATATCACAGGGTTGCAATGAATCACGAATTTCTGGATGATGTCTTGAAGCCGTGAGTCTCTTTTATCAGATTTCCTGATTTTCAGCGTTCTTGCTGTTGATCCTTATCTTCGCTCATTATGGGGTATATATTCACGAATTCGAACTAACAAAATTACTCAGGTAAAGAAATTTTGATTGGAATCGATTACACAGATTTCATTTATCCCAAAAGTCCCCCGACCCCTAATTGAAGTTCAATAACTGTTTAAACTTTTTTTTGAAATATTACTTGTTAGATTTCTCAGGTAGTGTGCACTATATGAATTAAGCACAAATGATGCCTTTTTAAGCACTAAACAAATCTTAGTATCGTAAGTAGTTATCCGCCCGTTTTAGCTTTAACATTTAATAAAGACATTTTGCACTCCAAACCACAAATGAGGAGAAATTTTGGGGAAAGTGTGAATGTAGTCGTTAATCCATCAAATCATCGCCTTTTCCTTAGTCCGAAGTATTACTGCGGCTGTTCTTCATCGAATTGAAGTGTCTCGGAACAACACCTTTCTGATTGCTTGATTTGTTTTGTGACTTAGGCGTGTTACACCTCATGGAACATAGGCTACTTACATATATTCTCCAACCAACTTTGTCCTTTTCATTCCTTTTCGGTCATTAACCGTTGTGATTTCTTTCGACTTCTCCTTTTTGTTTCCAACCCAGTTTTTTTGGTCTACGTCTTATCCGATGAACAAGGAGTATCTGATGCAGATATGAAGGCACGGATTAGCAAAACAAGATCAGCTTCCTACAATTGAAGAACATACTGGACTCAAAACAACTGTCAACTAATACGAAAGTCAGAACCTTTAGTACTAACTTAAAGACAGTCCTACCATATGGAGCTGAAACTTGGAGAACTACTGCAACAATCATCAAAAAGGTACAATTATTTATAAACAATTGTATGCGTAACACACTGATTGTCTGTTGGTCGGATACCATAAGCAACAGCCTACTATGGGAGAGAAAAACCGGCTTCCAGCCGAGGAGTAAATCAGGAAAGGACTCTGGAAGTGGATAGTAAATACACTGAAGAAATCATCAAAATGCATCATGAAGCAAACGCTAAGTTAGAATGCTGAAGGGAAACGAAAAGAGGAAGACCAACGAACACACCGCCAGCAGTTTGAAACAGACATGAAATGGATGAATAGCGACTAGAAAGGATTGCACAGGACAGAGTTGGATGTAGAATGCTGGTGGGTATTCTATACTCCTCCATGGGGGTAACAGGCGTAAGTAAGTAAGTTTTATCCGTTCGCCTTGTGGTTTCAAAGTAAGGATTTGCCTTGTAATGCAGCTTGATAATTTTCGCCTACGGCGTTTTTTTCCAATTTGTTCTGCAACTAGAAGCTGTTTTGTTCTCCATAACAGTAGGTCGTTTCTGATGGTATTCGGACAATAGATCTGGATTATCTTGAGTAGACAAATCTTTATAAATACATGTGCTTTTCTGATGTTGGTCGTAATAGTTCTCCAAGTTTCAGCACCATACAGTAGAACTGTCTTGATATTCGTATTGAGAATTCTAAATTTGATGTTGGATGACACTTGTTTTGAATTCCAGATTTTCTTCAATTGTATGGGAAGTCTTTTTACTTTGCCAATATTTGTCTTAACATTCACATCAAATCCCCCTTGTCTATCAGTAGCACTGTCCAGGTACGTAAAGGCTACCATTTTTCCAGAGTTGCGTTGCCAAGTGTGATTTAGTTGATGTTCGTTGTGTTCTGTTTTAGGATATTGCATTTTTGTTTATGTATATTGAGGTATTCTGATACAGAGGCTGCTATTGTACTGTATATCTTCATCTGAACTTGTTGCTGTGTATGAGAAAGAAGAGTGAAGTTATCTGCGAATTCAAAATTGTCCAATCACATCAAAAGCATTCACTATATACCATGCTTCCTGTAACACGTGGAGGTCTTCATAAGCCAGTCAAGCATCAGAAAAAAAAGAGGAAGCGGAGTGTAAGCAGCCTTGTCTGACACCGGTCTTCACTTAGAATGCACCTAAGAACTGTCCTGTATGCAAGACTTTTCAGGGTAATCCGTCGTAGCAATTCCGTATGACGTTGGCAATCTCAGATACTTTATAGTGTCGGTGAACATTCCACAAGGTTCTCTTGTCCACACTGTCAAATGCTTTCTCATAGTCAAGGAAGTTAACGTGTATCAATGAGTCCCATTCAGTCGATTACTCGACAGTGATCCGTGTTTGGGACCGGCAATATTCTTGGAATTTACGCCATCACGTACATCCTACCCAAACACCACCACTTTCCTCGAGACAACCATTGCAGATCAAAGAACAAAAACCTAGGCACGGTCTCCCTTTTTCATTAAGAGTTGCCCCTATTCGGAGTGTTCTCCCAATCGCATTGACCATAGTCCCCTCAGTGAATAGCTTCAAAAGAAGACTTGACAAATACGTACTCATCCATGGATTACCATCCCCTCTTGGACCATTTGTGTCTGATTCATGTCTCGTAACTTACCTACTATTGTCATTATCTCATCATTAACTTGTTTTTATCTCGCTTATTATCATCTCCACTTCCTCTATTATTCCTACACTTCGGTCTTCTCAGAATGTGTCCATTGCCAATCAATTTTCTAGTTTATTTATTTCATAAAACAATCGTCTTCTCTTAGTATCCGAAGTATCACTTTATTATTTTCACATTGCAATCAACCTGTGTCCTATCTGTTTATGTGAATAGTGCTGGTATTCATATACCTACTACCCTGAGATAAATACACTGATAATTATAACTAGTCAAATTGATTTGCTAAGCAGGAGCCGTCAGAGTATTGCCATGTAAGACATAGAACTTTACGAGCATAACTGAACGCATTCTGTTTGGAATAAACTATAAAGGAGTCATCAATTAGTACAAATACCGTATTTCTCCACTAGATAACTTCACTTTAGTTTATTATCATTATCTTATCTAATATTTTTTTCATTCAGCTTGGCTATCAGTTTTGATGATATTTCACACAATCTAATAGTTGCCTGCTTATCAAACTGATCTCAGTTTACAATTTTGAGATCGATCATCTCTCTCTATAGTCTTAATAGGAGTGCATGAATTAAATGTTTGTCGTTTCTAGCTTATTAAATATATTTTAGTATCATGAGCCTCAAATCTAAATAGCGATTTTTTTGTTTGTAGAATGATTATTGGTTAACTTATAAAGCACCATTTCGGTAAATACGTAATAATTAGTAAGATTTAAATAGTTTTCAACCTTCATTTGCAAGTCTGATAGAAATATTGTCTAAATTGGGTTTGCTCAAATTCTGTATTCTGCTAATCAAAATAATCATTTATTTATTGATTAAGGCCTTATGTAATTGATAAGACGTCAGTGCAACCATTTCTTCTTAAGCTGAAAGTTGGTTTGATCCATTGTATTCGACTGTCTCTGTATCTGGCCAGTAAATATTGGTTAGATAACTCTATAAATACCTATATCTTTTTGATTATAGTTGTATAAGTTTTCCGGATTTCAACTCCACTTAATAAAACACCCTTACCTTTTACAAATTGTTTGCTCTTCCCTAAAATTAACACCGAATCGCCTACTTCCCTCCAATATTAACATGTCAAATAGTCAACCTTTTGCAAAACCTAACGGATTAGTATACTACCGCTCGTACATTTAAGAAGTTCGTCTTTAATATCTTGAAACAATCAACCACTCAAACAGTGGTTTATGTGAAAAAAATGTCTAACTATGTCTTACATAAAGTTGTCAATGTTTACATGGGGGTGACAGTTAAACGTCAACACTTTAACTGGCAGAAAAAATTATCTTCATTCCATGCTCTAGAAAAAGTAGTTAATGCACGGTTTACGCATATTTAATCAGAAAGCTTTTTACATTTACCTGCTACATGTGGTTCGTTCCAAGTCACTCGATGCACGTGAGAAGTTTAACGTAGTTTTAAAATGATTGATTTCTCAAAAAAGATAACATTGTCGGAAATGGACGCAATAATGGCGTTGCCAGTGAGGAGCAGCGTTTTCGTCACTTCTTTATTTATTTGAACACATAAATATTGGTACAGGGGGGCACCAAATATATATGCGCCACACAAAACAGTGATAATTTGAAGAGAAGGAGAAAAGAGAAGAAAAAGTAATGAACGTGGGGAATTATAAAAAAAGGGAGAGAGAGAGAGAACAATGGTGGGGGAAAAGGAAAGGTACAATCAGAAGAGATCTTTCAGTTAAGGAAGATACAACCACTTTTTATGAAGAAAGTAAAAGAAGGTTACAGCAGGATCGCCACTGGCTTCTATTCTGAGCCATATCTGACAACGTCTCTAGCCACTGCGTTACACCGTCTCTCGGACCCCAACCAGGGAGTCGTGAAGGACCAACAGAAGCTAGCCCTTTGCAGCTTTCTTTCATACCACGACACCATGTCATATACTGACCATCTCTCCGCTTTTTCCAACCAGTCCCAGAGTCGGCAAATAATGCACGACGTGGAATTCTCCGGGACGACATTCGTAGAACATGTCCAAGCCACCGAAGTCGGTGTTTCAAGATGGTGACACCAATTTCATTATCGTCTCTGTGACCGAACACTCGATGCCGAACCTCTGCATTACTGACATGGTGTTGCCACTGGATGCCAGCAATCCTTCGGAGACAGCGATGATCAAACACAGAGAGTCGTCTAACATCCTCAACTCGGAGAGGCCAGGTTTCACAAGCATAGAGCAGAACTGCTCTCACCTTCGCGTTGTAGATCCGACCTTTTACAGCCAGACTAACATCACGAAGGCGCCAAAGATGGCCCAGATTGGCATAAGCCGCTCTGGCTTTCACTATACGTGCATTGATCTCATCACTCACACCACCACCAGCACTTATGCAGCTACCTAGATACACGAACTTCTCGACCACTTCTATCTGCTCACCATCCAGAGTGAGTACTCTGGAGTGTCACAGCTGTCGACAGTTCAGATGTGGTTTTGTAAAATACTCATTACAAATTAGTCATAGAATAAGGTAAGGCTCATCGTGATATTTCAAAGAGCGGATCCCGGGTTTAAAAAACAGAAAGTAAACTTTAACAGCCACCATTGTCACTTGCAATATCTTCCATTGTAAATCAACTCTTGCTCAGTTTATCCCTCATACCGTGAAAGCAACCTTGCGCAGCGATATCGTAAGCTTTTGAGAGATATTTTTCCCTAACACTGGACGATTAGAATTTAAATATTAAGTCGTTTGTGAATAAGAGAAGCTTAGACGTAGCCGTACTTTTTATACTCTTATATAATGAAATTTTCAAAAGAATCATTTTTGTGGCTATCCTGATCAATGTGAAGTTTAAGGCCAAACAGAGTTTCACTAGGTATGATAAAATTGATCGAATTGAGTTTTCTAAGCTTTCAGTATTAAAAATACGTCGACCAATTGCTCTAGTTCGTAAAAGTATCTAATCACGTCAATCATAGTAGAAATGACATTGATTTAAAAGGAAATTTAAATGTTACTTCTTCATAAAACCCAACAACTCTTATCGGTAAGTATTCTTCGGACACCTTACTTCACTCAAATTGTCCCCAAAATAAGAACATGGCCGAACAAGAACTAGATTATATTCCATGTAAGCAAATTTGAATGGGAGTTACGATCACAATATGAGAACTTAGTAAATTTATAATTTATACACAAGAATATTCTTGAGTCTTTATCTATCTTTTAGCCTCAATCGGCTAAAAATGATTAATCGGCGTGCTTTAACATTATTTTGCATGGGACACATATTAATACAATATATGGTCTGATAAAATCTCCCTTTTGAGCAGATTAGTGGGATACGGCGTTATGGTCCACTCGCATCCACGTCTAATAAAATACTAAGAAGTATTTCACATCGGTTCTTGTTGTTGGCGATCAAAGTTGCTTTCAGTTGATTATCATGGCGTAATCAAACTTCTGAGCCGACTAATGCCTCATAAACGAAATTTCCTTTTCTTTGCATGATTCGATCGACTATCCCTATATGATGTTCATAGCCAGTACTTTTTGACCCATAGTGAACAATGGACATTATGAGGCAAAAATACTAATGCATTTACATGAGTTGAAAGCGGACTTTTCTCCATATCTATTCGTTAGCTATATCATTACTACCCAATGTGTGTTTTATTGCAGTAGAACTTCGATTTAAACATGATTTGGTGCCTAGGTATACATTATAAACTTAAAACTATATCAGTCGTTTTTAACAAGATTCATAACCGTTGATGAAATTTAGTATTGGTATTGGGAGAGTAACAAATTCTTTTTTTAAACCCTAACTTCACATGTCTAACAAATAATACTGTAAGAACTGCATTATCCACTTCAATCATAAGTGTCCTATTACCGTTGGAAGTTAGTGTGAAAATTAAGTCTACTTACTAGGTCTGAAAATCACATTCCAAATTTTGTCAACAGAAACGTTTGTACATAGTCCTTACCTCTTTTGTAAACCCAAAGAAGTTACACTCGAACTTTGTTTTGTTTTCGTTTTCTCAGGATATAGTGTTAGGATTGAACCGATCTGATTATATGCTTCATGTACAAGAAGATTTATGCGATAATAAACGAAATTCTCTTACGAACCGGTTACAAAGTACTGTAGTAGCTGCTCAGTCTGATATAGAGACTCAAGATGAAGCTTGGGATGGTTTGTTGATTCGACAAGTTGAATTCAATATGATTGCATGTAGTTTTTGTGGTCTTGCTCAACGTATTGTTCCACAACATCGTATTTCATTATCCTTGCATGGAATTTCAAGCGATTTAAATAATCGTGTAAGTTAAGAATAATTTTATTCACCTCATTGTTTTTATATGTGATCTCAGTCATTTTTGAGAGTATAATACCTTGTGTAGTAAAATGGATGTTTATTTTAGATTTTGTTGTGAATCATATATTTTTTCAAATAGTTATTCATGTTTTTGCAATTCTACTGCCTTTTTGACAGACTGGTTTGTGTCTTTATGTTGGGGGTTCTTTCAAAAGTCTGACTTGTTCAATAAACTCGAGTTCATCCGGTATCACTCCATTTTTTACGGTTAGTTTTTCGTCTAGTTCAGCAAATCATGATATTTGTTTCATATGCAAAAAATCATTCTATGTAATAGTTTATCTTAAATTATTTGGACAATTTAAAAATTAGGATTATAGTTTATTTCCAAAAGACTACATTACGCAATAGCAACAAGTGGTATCCTAAGCTAAAATTATATGAAACCCGAAATCAGTGTTTATATGTATATTATCTGACGGATATAATTTACCTGAGGTTAATGGCTTACAATTGTTAATAATAATTTCATCAAACTGATCTATACGTTGACTTAAACAATCCGGAATATACACTTTATCAAGTGGTTATTTCTTTTTGTATATATTTAAGCACCTTAGGACTTAGAATGTTTTTATATAATTCCGGACTATGGCGTTATCATACAAATGATATAAATTTAATGTATTAAAAATCTCATTTATGTCATCAATTTTACATTTAGGTACCTGATTGCTTATCTGCTGATAGATTTTCCGAAGCTTTATTATCTGCTTGTCGTATGTATGTCGAAGATTGCTCTAGAAGAAATTTAGTCACATCAAACATATCTATTCTTGTAGTTGTTGGTAATAATGAAAAAAATATTTATGATCAACGAGCATTGATTGGTTGTCTTCTACTGAAAAATCCTAAAGTGAATGTGTTATATCATTCATTTGATTATCTAAAAACTGGTCTAAAATTGGATCTGAATTCCCGTTTATTTGTGTAAGTTGTAAAATTATTACCTACGTGCCTAGCTCATTTAATCTTTTGGGTTATGCTTTTTTATTAAGTCAATTAGTTATCAATAACGAGTGTATAGTTTCAGTAATTATTGGGGTTAAATAAGATCTAACAACAATGTAGTAACTATATTATTTTAAGTCGCTAAAATTCAGGACAATTTTGACGTATTGTAAGAAAAAAAGATTTAAATGATTAAGTGATTAGCATTTCGATGCTTTGATACATTAAGTTTTCCTATCATTCACTATAAACGATGTATGCGTTTGATTCACTTGGGTGTTGGTTGTTTCAATCTACTGATGTTTAGGACCGCAACTGATCAGCCTCTAATTGTCATATGTGCATTCTGGGCGGTTTGCCTCGATATTGCTTTACGCCACGAGTATTATAGGCATAGATAGATGGTGGCTAGCAGTAAAATCTAGGGCTGGGACTCAGACTGATGTACCTGCATCCCAGAGTTGATGAAACGTGTGTTATGGACTCCACTGCTAACCACCATCCATTTCTGCTTATAATCAATGTCCTGATACAAATATATCAGCCTAATCCATAGCACTACGTACTAACCCAGAAAGCGAAGTAACAAGTACCAAACTTGTTATTTCGCTTTCAGTTTTATATGTCTATTGTTGTCTGTTGTTTATCCATTCATTTCCCTATTGTTCATCTTTTTTTGTATTTTTTGTAACTTTTCCCATTTTATTCTCCTTACAACTTTCTCCAATTTGACTGGTCCCCAGTTAAATCCCCGTTACCATTCTATTCGTGAATATGTCAAGGATTTGTAGTGATAAGCTGTCGTACAAGATTTTGTTTGATTCCAGTGATCAGAAGTATCAATCCAGTCAGAAGATATTTTCCTAAGCATTGGTTAAAAGAAATTTATTGTTACATAGAGAAATCACCGAATACAATTTTTAATTATAACGCACTCAATTTTGATTTTCAAAATATTATTATTATACAGTGTTTATTGTTATTGTTCGACATTTCAGTTTTCACTCCAGTGTTGAAATATCTAGACGTTTATTTTGTTGTCTTAAACTCTAAAGAAATTATTTTAACAATTCTATTAATTATGTAATTCTTACCGTTATTTACTATCAATGAGGAAATCACCTTCATTAGTTTTATGTTTCATATATGTACATATAGCTCTACGTATATTTAGAATGAATTCTGACCTAAATTTTTCCTACTTATTCAGTAAGAGTTTTTTTAATTATTTTTGTGAATATAAATACACCGTCTTAGTATTGGACAAGTGACATTTCAGTTGTATGATTGTGCTCAAATTAGATTTTTCGAGTAACTGGTTTTTCATTGAGGAAACTATATGTACTTAATCGAATATAAATCATTTCACAGAAACTCGATGGATTCACAAGGTTGTTAGTGGGACATAGATTGGATTTAAGCATGCTCAATGCACGATTGCTTTGGCTGATTCTTATCCAATCAGCGCTAGTCGATACATGGAGAAGACTCTAGAATCTTCTTATGTAAAAAGCTATAAATATACTAACGGTTTGCCTATTTTGCTTCTTGCTTCCATCTAACCTTGTTATTTGGAATATAATCTGCTTCCTGCTCAACCGTGTTCTGATTTGGGGCCTTGTTGAGTGAATCTGTGTCCGTGAATACTAAGCAATAGGAATAGCTGGGTTAAAACCGTAAGAGCGAAATTATAGCAAAGGTAAACTAGTGTTTTATATTCAATCACTTGATCATTTAATATTGTAACTTGTGAATCAAGAATTATTGTTTGTCATACAAAATCAAATCAAATCGTTAATGTTGGGGCTGACCAATATGAAGGGCTAACTTGAATTAGTTTATAAGTGAAATGATATTGTGAGACAAATGATCAGAATAAATATGGTCAACATGGGGTGAGAGAGAAAATAATGAAATAAAATGGGAAATTATTTAATATGTAGAATAATATGAATTAGGTGCTCACGAGTCCGAATATACAAATTCCTAGAACATCTGCCAATATAACTTGTTCTACAGGAGTAGTTGAATTGATAGATAAAGAAAGAGGTGACTAGTCTAGGCAATTTATCTTCAACCTCGGAGTGATTATTGGACATGTGGAAAACATTAGTTGTATTTTACCTGCACTAAAAGTCCTTTGAATTAATCTGTTTAACATCAGTTTTAGCAACTACTCCTGTGGAGCAAGTTATATTGGCAGATGTTCTAGGAATTTGTACATTCGGGCTCGTGAGCACCTCCCCGTGTAGTTAGGCAAAGGTGTAGTTAAAACGGTTAACAGCTCCACTTTAGACCATCTAGTTCAGACGGGACATACAGCCAACATGGAGCAATCTTTCGCAATAATATATCGTGTTAACAGCTGTCTACCTAACTCCGTCAGACTGAAAATTCTACAGGCGGTTGAAGCAATTGCTATTCGGGTCAAAAAACCAGAGCTGTGCATCCAAAAGAAATATGTTCAGCCACTCATTTTACCCTGGCCGACTTTGGAGCTAACTGGTTAATAATCAGTCGTATATGGTGACGTTATCTGATTAATGTTCATTTTATGTCCCAAACTTATTATTATTATCCTTACCATTGTTATTATCATCTTTATCATTGTTATTATTATCATTACACTTGATAACCTTTTTGAGAAATTTATTCAGCATTCAACCCTATCTACTATATCTGACCTAATTCATATTATTCTACATATTAAATAATTTCCGATTTTATTCCATTATTTTCTCTCTCACCCCATGTTGACCATATTTATTTTGATCATTTATCTCACAATTTCATTTCACTTATAAACTAATTCAAGTTAGCCCTTCATATTGGTCAGCCCCAACATTAACAATCTGATTTGATTTTATATAATAAACAATAATTCTTGATTCACAAGTTAGAATTTCAAATGATGTACCCTACCTTAAATCTGGCCAATTTTATGGATTATTAATTTGGATTTATAATTGTAGAACCTGATGAGAAATTATTGAAAAGAATATTCTTCGTTCATATAATTGTGTTCTATATAATGGGAATTTTTCAGCGATTATCAATCAGTTGATCTGAAATTGTTTTTGTTAACAGGACATAGATTACATTAAAGCATGTTCCATACGAAATTACGTTAGAGAGCGTTGATTGGTCCATTATTTATAGCTAATCAGTGCTAGCCTGATAAATTCGAAACACTGGAATCCTTCTGTGTAAAAATTATAAATATATTAATCTTTTTAACTGGCGTCAGACATCTTATTGATCATAGTAGTCTATGATAAATATAAGGCACATTTTTGTACTCCATATGAATTCACCGATACGGTTGATGAATGTGGATATGATTATGTCGTGTCTGATATTTCGTGGGAAAATCCTATAAACTACGGTTCTACTACCTTTTATTTTTAATTCTTATTGTTTCTTGTTTATATGTACTGCTAAGAGGAGTAGAAGCGTAGACAATCACGATATTATGTTAATAACATCAAGGGTTGATCTTCGCCAGTGAACCATTCAAAACTAGGGACTACTTGATACTTGCGTTAGGAAGCTATACCCATGAATAATGTCAAATATATACTACTGGGTCTCGGCTAAGTGGTCTAAGAGTTAAGCACTCTGAGATCTGAACGACTCAGGTTCAATTTCCAGTGGAGTCGTAGGTACGCAATTTTAACGAGTCACATGCTAGAATGAAATAGCTGTCTAGTGCTTTCTATTTTTCATTGGCTGTCTAATTAAGGTTAATCCGTGATGTAAAGTTGGAAATTCAATAATCTGCACAAACGTCTTGTAATAAAAATGCGGCATTGCCTATCTCAGTGTATCAATGATTGGGTTTCATAAGCTGCTGTTTATTATAATAATATATTTTTTTGCTACTAAACAAAGTCTATTCTATTTTGCGTTGTATTATTTTCAGAGACAATCAAGAGGTAGCTGTTGTATATTTTAGAACTGGCTATACTCCAGATGCTTTCCCTGATGACGAAGTGAGTGACGTATATCATTCTCATAATGTTTGTGTTATGTGGTATTTTCCAATGAATTATTCTTCACTTTTGACTTTATCTCCTTTTAGCCATTTGTTTATCATATACAATTTTTTTTATTAATCCTTCAATATTGAATTAAAGTTGTTATTCAGTAGAATTCTTCGCGGTGATATAATGAGCAGAAATTAGACATGGTAGTCAGGTTCCATATGTATTAATTTCTGATTGACGTTTATGTTTCATATTCTATGATCACTTACGCTTTAAATAACTTTTAATCATCTTTAGTTTTTCAAATATTTTTGCATATAGTTTCAAATCCGTTCTATTGCATTTCACTATATGTTCATTTGAAATAATTCTTAGGTTTAATATTTATTGACAACTGAATTTCATATAAACTATTCAGTGAATCAGCTGAGCCTATTATAAACTACAAATAGGACTCGTTCAGTAATACACGTATGTAAGTAACAATTAAGCATGAAGCGCAGAACATTTGTCCACAGTGATGTTGTGTTTATGTAACAAAAACATAAGCTGTGGACTAATAAATCATCTTGTCGAAGGGCCCCTGAAAATGGCCGAATTACCTCCACTTTGAAAGCCCATCGATTTCTACTATGTAGAAAAACAAGGTATTATTATATGTGGCACCCGAAAAAGTTCTCATAATACTGGCTTTGAATGTAGAACGACTAATAATATAGATGGAATGTTTTTCCAGTTACTACTACCTCTACATCATACAATCGTTTTTTCCAAGCTACTATTATTTTTACCACATATAACTATCGAATTATACAAATTTTAGAAAAGTAGATAGTATTCATTTAGGTCGAATTGCTTAATAACGCTTCCGTCTAATAATAATAATGACAATAATAGTTTGTTCCCGAATAATAATAAGTTATACGAGACATGCCAATTTAAGGATAAAATCAAATTGTTAAATATGTTATGATATTCACTACACTAGACTAGATAACCCAATTTGGTTGACACGTTATAACGAAACATTTGCTACTGAAATAGAACAACAAATGTTGGTATATAAAAACATGATTAATGGGATTAAAACTGAAATGTGTAACATAAAATTTCACCCGTCATGTTGATGCTGAGTTACAGAAATGAACTGTTGGTTGCAAATAATGCAAATATCATGCAGTCATTTTGAAGTTAAAAAAGGCCAATTTTTTGCACATATTTTGTTGTTTTTTGTTACTAGTTGTCAGGTATTATTACAGCATTCTTGTAGAAAGAATTCTCACCACAGTATCAAGCAAGACGTACATTAAAGTCTTTTGTTCTGGATACGTATTTTGTGTGTTGCATCACGATAGGACATTCGACGATGAAATATGGGGAAGTCTGAGTATTATATCCTTCAGTTTGCTCAATTGCATCTATTTTACAATACCTTTGCTCCGATGTACTTCACAGTTGTGTTAAGCATATTTAAAACTGATGTATGTGCAATTTATCAGGGGAAAACAACTACAACAACTCAGTAATAGTATTGTTGATGGCGTCCAAACATAGTAATGCCTAATATTTAAACAATTAAACGTTTCCTAGAATTCTGCTAGACTTGAGAGGCCAGGATCAACAAGTATAACATTCAGCATTTAGTCTGCCGAAATTCCATGGTTGTGGGACACCGAGGTACCAACATCACCGAGTAGTTAGGCAAATAGTGTATTGTGATCTGATTTTTTTCTTGTTATGATGTATATCTATCTATAACTGTTCTAACTGTTAGTTTAATTTCATTCCAAAAAAAATTGTTTCCGCTTAAGTTTACGTGTTTTACAAAATAATCTGAATTCACTGTTGAATATCAAATAAATAGTGTTTATCATAAAAAAATCAATAGTTTCTGAGAAGAATACAAACATTTAAATGACAATACAACCGATACTTTTAAGCGCAGGAAACTGTAAGACTAAGTTACTATGTTGTTGAACAGTGTTCGTAATAATCTAAGTATTTTCAACTTTATCCTAAAGTAACAGGAAGCAGTTGAAATTTGTTTATCAGTAGTTATGAATTATTTGATAATGCAGTTTTCTTTAATACCATTAATTATCTATATTCATTTATAGTCAAGAAAGCTATAAAATGTTTATGCCAGTATTTTACTGAGTGTTACAATTGTTTCCGATCGTGTTGCATCGAGTTGTAATATATATATATATATATATATATATATATATATATATATATATATATATATATTACACTTGATGGATAAATAAACGTGATCATGAAAAATCAGAATTATCAAAAATTCTACTATTAATATTTATCCTTATAAAATTCAATCAAAAGTTTGAAACATGCACATTGGAGAAGCATTCTTGTCACATGTTTTTGTATTTTCGTGTAGCTGTACGATTAGTGTTAAAAATATAATTTGCGATATGGACAAATCATTTCATTGATCGTCATGGCATCGGATTCAACTAAGAAAATTTCGCAACAAATAATTACTTCACAAAAAATCTGTTTATTAGACCTCTATTCAAAGGGGATTAGCTTAGTATGCTATTTTGGTGCTCATTATAGGCCAGCATTTTGCTGAGCTTTCCTAACATCAAGTTGATTATAACATGAAATCAATGCTACTTAGAGAACAAACCTCTTTTGGTCGACGAGTTGTATTTCACCACATTCACACTTTTAAAAAGAATAGATAGAGTATTATCTAAAAAAATCGCAGACTGCGAACCGAATGATTTGATAATAAATGGTTCCATATTACCCAAAAGCACCCGAATTCAGTCTTTTATAAAAATCTTTGATTAATATTTAGTAAATCGCATGTTGACATTGTACTCCCTGGAATATTTATTGTGTTCAATCGCAAAACTAAACAAACTTCTGTTTCGTGAATTACTGATGTGCACAGTAATAAGAATTATCTTACAGATGTTGATTGAGATCATGTTTCGCTTAGTAATTAGGCGGGAGAAGACTGCAACATCTGTCCACTATTTCTATATCGAAATAAATTGTAATTTATAATTTCTTTATTGAACAATTCTGGTTAAAGATAAATTGTAATCGTACTAACAGTTCAATGTGAACCTTTATACATTAATTATTAAAATGGATCCGTTTTATAGCTCATAATAACTTATAGTTCATATTCTCACCAAAATCCATTCATATCTTTCGTTGATATTAAATAAAAGGAGCTTAACTTCTTTCTAACATATTGCCAAATGGTCTATTTAAATTTAATTAATCCCTAATGTACTAAACTCATCTCATTAACATTTAGTGACTTCAAACAGTGTTTTTTTTACTTTCAACATGACAACACACGGTTCTACATATTATTTATTCCCATCTAATCTTTTCAGCATATTCAGTTCTCTTTGCATTAAGCTGTAGATTTACATTCCTATCTTAGATCCCAGTGAATACATATTGTGTAAGTACTAAATCTGCCATTATTACATTTACAGACAAGAAATTACGTCGTAAGACAATGATTTACAATACTGAATTAGTTATATCTGCTGCTAGGTTTAAAGCTAACACGAGTTCACTTAATCTGCGAACGAAAAACAAGACTGGGCGACCAAAGACCACTAAGCTAGCTATTGATGCGTCCCAGCCCCGCAATCTAGAGGGAGAAGTCCAAGCTTAGAATGGGAAGTATATTCTGCAACAGCCAGAAAACGAGCGAGCACAACAAACACAATTTAAAACGTAAAGATATTGCCATGGAGCTTTTAAACATTTAATCGATAAGTTCGTCAATCGACTATGTGTGTGGGTGGTAAGAAATGCCCATAAATCTGCATACAAGCTCCACAAGATAAAGTTACAAACCATGTTTTTTTTGGGGGGATCTATCGTCCCCAACATCTGCATTACTGCAGAGCTGTAATTGTGTGCTCAGCAAATTTCCTCAGACTTTACTCTTCATAATAAACAGCCTTTTCAATCACTCGATTAATTCAACAGTCCGCGTTAGAAATTTAAATATCTAACCAATCGAATAAACAGAATTTAAGTAAGAAGAAACTTGCGATGGCGGAGACAAGATTTTTATTTTAGGCGGGTTATTTTATTAGAGTTTCATTCTCCGACCTGGATGGTTTAATCATGTTTAATCCTGTCAAAATAAATATGCAGTTAATGATAGAATAAAGGTCAACAATAATTAATAAAAATCAAGTTTGACCAGACATATTATCAGTATGTTAGGTCGGGAGAAGTTCGAATAGTTCACTTCTATCTGAAGTCTTTAATAATGATGTTGTTCTGTAGACCAATGAAAATTCCACAATTAAACTATTCAAGTCAAAGAATATATCAAATCTTAAAACTCAGATTTTCGTCACGCTCCAGTTGATAGGTTTTCAGTGTGTATTATAGATGTGCTTCTCTCATAGACTTGTCGAGATTTTACCATGGTATTTTATATCCCTACTTCCTGCAACATACACACCTATTCCCCTTGTGGTTTATTTTCTGTATTGATCCATGTAAGTCTTCCAGGCAATATATAACACTTTCCGAATTAGCTGCTCAATAGTCCAATAAAATATCTATGTTTATTTTTCTCACAAATCTAATTAATGACACTTAACTATTTGCTTTTTATATATTTCTGTTTTTTTCTTTTTTTATTCACTTCCTGCGTAGACATGGGATGTGAAATATCAACTTGAACGGTCGTTAGCTATCAAATGCCCATGTATACAATATATGCTTGCCAATACAAAAATTGTACAAGCTGCCTTATCAAAACCGAAATATTTATCTAGATTTTTTAAACCGGATAGTTCAAGTTATTTAAATATTTTATCTACATTCGCCCATCAATATACATTAGATGAAGAAATGGGAATATCGGATTCCACTGAAATTCAATATGTAATTAACGATTGTCTATTAAGACCAAATAATTATGTTTTGAAACCACAGAGAGAAGGTGGAGGGAATAATTATTTTGGAGGTATTGGTTTTCTTTTTAAATCTTTCTCGATAGCTACCATTTTAATTTTAATCAATTCGATTAGTTTTGTTCGTCGATACTTTAAAGTGAATAATAACTTTTCACGTTATTAACTTTTATGCAATAAATATGTCCTTTACGCGCTCAGTCCATAAAATGCTGTGTTGAGTTATACTGGGTTTTTCGGTTATTACTATTATCACTTGAAAAGTACTTAGTGTGAGTTCTAAAAAACAAATATGCGTATGCATGTCCAGATACGATGTTTCGAATCCAAGTGTTTTGAAACGAATATATTATTGTCCAATATATATTGTCCAATAAATACACGGACTGAGATACTTAGGTTTTTGATGAAGCGTTGTGAAAACACGCTGAAGGAAATGACTCATTTAGATTGGATAAAGCATTTTAGTAGATTGTAGGGACGCAAGGTCCACGATAACCTTCAACATTCACTTTTATTCCAGATGTTCAAAGTGTAAGGCGTCTTATACTTTTTGACGACTGATTCTTTGTCCGGATAATTAGTGATGAAGTGAATCAGGAAGAATCATCCATGCACATGATCCTAGCATAAAAATAATGAAAGGATGAGAATATTGACCTTTTAGGACCTTCAGGGATGTTATAAATGATGAAGGTAAAGATAGGACGGTTATTTTGTAATAAATTGAAAGTGTTTTGAAGTGCGTATATCCAAAAGTTTCTCGACAAAAATCTTCATCTTCCTAACCAGTAGTCAATGATTTCGTGAACCGCTAGCGTGTTCGGATATACTCACTCTTGACTTTTTTCCCACCTGTACGTATTTCATTTAACAGTCCTTGACAGGGCATAGAGTAACACTGTCCTAATCATTCCGGTCGACAATGATTTACAGCGATATAAACTAACTTAACATATTTATCTAACATCATGTCCATAATCAGCAATACTCACTTGATAGTTTTACTATGTGAACTATTCTTGAAAGAATATATGAACAAAAATGTCCATTTTCAATTTGTAGTTAATGATAAATAACGTACTTTAAAAACACTAGGATCAAACGAAATAAAATGTCTCATTGTTTGTTACAATCACTCTTGTAACTCTTTATCAGCACCTTATCGAAAAAAACTAGAATTGTAGTGAACAAAACACGGGTGGGGAACTATTGAGCACATAATTACAGAGCATTTCAATACAAACTGAGAACCATATATTAAATCGTTAATTTGCAAAATATCAATCCATCATATCAAACTTGACTGTTCCTGTTGCAAACATCAATCCATTGTCTCAGATTTCATTGTTCATGCATTTTCATACCAATTGCGTCTCGTTCCCGTTCTTTCCTCATCGACCTCCTACTAAAATACATTCTATGCCTAACCACCGTCATGTACTACTTGTGTGGATATAAGTAACTCCCACCACAAGATTAGCAGTACCGTTTTAAAATTCAGATGTAAACAATAGCTAATTACTTACAATAAATATGTAAATCTTGTTATGGTTTAGTAATGCGAGTTGTGAAATCATAGAATCAGTCAGTCAGCTGAAACGTAGGACCTGGCACGTATATGCATCGGTCCAAGTTGCCATACCGCATTAGCACAACAAGATGAACACCGGATTCATAGAAGTAGTTAATTCAGTGGTGGTAATATATAGAAGAAAGAGTGTGTATAAGGAGATAGTACAGGAAGATAGAATTAGTTCGTAGAAAGAAAGATTTGAAGTGATTTTAATCTCTTAGTTTAAAGGAAGACAGAGAGTGTATACACCTACGCCATTGTGATCGATTCTGAGCCATGTCACCAAGAGTCTCCAACCATTGGTTACGATAGTCACTCTGACCCCAACCAGGCAGTCTGCATCTACCAACATGGCTCAGACCAGAAGTTAGAGACTTCAAGCACTGATGCCACGTTTTGGTTTGGCCGCCCCTAACTTTCTTCCAATTATCCCTAACACCGGTTAACATTGCGCGCCGTGGTAATCGGTGTTCAGGCATACGCAGCACGTGGCCCAACCATCTCAGTCGATGAAGATGCATAACATCAACTGATTTACCATCATTCCCTAATACCCTACATCTAACCTCACGATTACTTACCCGGTGATCCCAGCAGATGCGAGCAATATTTCTAAGGCACCTGTGGTCAAATACTAGTAACTTACGAATATCTTCTACTCTTAAACGGAACGAACTGCCGCGCAGTATACTCGTCCCTTAATTGATAGACGGATATCTCGCCTTCGCCATGGATGACGTAAGTTGGCAAAGGCCAAACGAGCTTTTCGAATACGTGCTGAGATTTCGTCAGACACCAACCCATTAGGGTTGATCAGAGTTCCAAGATAAGTGAAGTTGTCGACGCGTTCGACTACTTCACCCCCTACCCTTAGTTCAGGTGTTGATGCAGACCAGTCCTGAAGCAACAACTTGCATTTGGAGGGAGAGAAGCGCATCCCAAACATTCTGGCATTGTTGCTCAGTGCTACCAAAAGACTCTGCATTTCATCAGCGTCTTCACCAAACAAGACTATGTCATCTGCGTATTCTAAGTCAATAAGTGGACCTCCTGGTAAGAGATCAATGCCCGAGAATCCAGTCGATGAGAGCGTTATTTCCATCAGTAGATCTATGATGAAGTCAAACAAAAATGGAGAAAGTGGACAGCCTTGGCGGACGCCACTTGAGGTTGAGAAAGCAGATGACAGTTCGCCATAAGCTCTGACTCGACTAGTAGTGTTCGAGTACAGAGCCTTCACAAGATTTATGTACTTCTGAGGTACGCCTTTCAATGACAGACACTGCCACAGAACCTCTCTGTCAACAGAGTCAAACGCTGCTTTTAAGTCAAGGAATACCACCATTGTTGGACGCCTATAAGTATGCCTGTGTTCTAGAACCTGACGAATGGTGAATATGTGGTCGATGCAGCCACGACCAGGTCTGAAGCCAGCCTGATTTTCACGTGTTTGCAGTTCACGAGTCTTAGTTAGGCGTCAGAAAATTATCGAGGCTAGTATTTTAGAAATTATATTAGTTAAACTAATCCCTCTGTGGTTGTCACAGGCTGATTTTGACCCTTTCTTAAATATTGGGACGATAAGTGATTGTGACCAGTTAGATGGGATAACGTTTAACTCCCAGATTTTAGCTAAAATATTAATTCCGGTTTCTTTTATTAGTCTGTAGAGTTGTCTTGTGTTCCCTATAGCCGCCGCCTTTTCCATCTCTTTTGCTTTCGTTGCCCACCACTGCTCACGATCGTTCCTCAGACTTTTGCTTAACCTAGATCTGATTTCTTTACGCCCTTCATCGTGTTCAGAACCTGATGGGATGAGTTTGCGAGAATTAATCAGTGCAATAGACCTTGAAGAAATCCATTGGTTCTTTGTAAACCTGTGGTTTAAATCACTAGTAGATGTCACTGCAGTTTCCACAGCTGCTTGTATGTCTTTGCAGTCAACATCTGGGTCAGCCTCGTTTTCAGAACTACCTAAGTGTGACCTCAATTGTTCTTGGAACCTACTTTTGGTTTTCTCATTACTCAATTCGGTTCTAATGAGTCTTTTTGGTGTGGTTTTTTGCGTCCAGTGAGGCGCAAGCAGATGCGTTCTCGTATTAGGGCATGGTCGGAGTCCAAGCAGGTACTCCAGAATGAGCGACAATCTTCTATTAACCCTCTCCAACGATGACTGATGGCAATATGGTCTATTTGAGTCCATCGTTAGTTTGGTGCAGGGGGTCGCCATGTTAGACGATGTCTCTCCTTATGCTTAAAATTTGTGTTTGCTAAAAGTAAACGATTGTCTGAGCACAGTTGCAGCAGACGATCACCATTATCTGTTCTCTGTGCCGGAATACTAAAATACCCACCTAAATGTCTTTCTGTTTCGTTTAAGCTACCTACCTGGGCGTTAAAGTCACCTCCTACGAGTACTATGTCTAAACGTTTAGCTTTCTGAAGAAGTTCAGACAGCTTTCTGTAAAATTCATCTTTCACTTCATCCGAACTGCAGTCAGTGGGAGCGTAGGCAGAAACGACGAAAAGGCAACGACGTGTGTCCCTATCCTTTCGAGTTCTTACCGAGCCGTTTAGCCGAACAGCGCATAGACGACTATTAACGGGGATCCACTCTAATAGCGCTTGTTCTGCCCTCATGCCTAGTGCTATGCCTACACCTGCAAGTCCACGAGAACTAGCCATCGGGTCGCCAGATACACGGAGGGTGTATCTCGTTGGCTCTCCGTTTTGCCGAGGTGAGGTCAAGTGAATGACCACACTAGGATCCTGTATGCGTGTTTCGGAGACACAGCATACATCAATCGTACGAGATTCTAAGGTTTTAGCCAAGGAAGCCTGCTGACCGATTTGGCATAGTGTGCGTACGTTGAAGGCTCCAATGTGTAGTTTGGAGCGAGGTTTCAGTAGACCTGGGACAGTGTTTTGCGCACTAGAATCGTTGGCTGTGGTGACACTTGAGGAGGAAGCCGAAAGAGGAAGTTTAGATTTGAAAGTCGATGTAGGAGGAATAATAGGAATTGAAGAGGGAGGTTGATTATGAATACAGTGGTCTTGAGTGCTGTTAGAGGTATGAGGGCGATTATCACTTCCCGGTCGCCCACACCGTGGAAGGGTTCTGCTGGAGGTACTTGAAAAGAAAATTGGATTAGAGGTGGTCATAGTGACCTGAGAGCGTGACCGCAGTGCCCAAAGGACAGCTGCTTGAGGTCGGTCACACACGACCTTTTTATGAGTCGTTTTTGTGTTAGCTCCGTACTTGTTGAGACCGGAGACGGATATCCGTGGGATAAGGCGAGATGTGCATTTTTAGGGTCGACCTTTTCTAACCCCACCCCTCTTTGTGGGAAGGCAGCATCGCTGTTATACTGGTTGTCTGAAGGAAACACTTTACTGCTGTCACACCTCTGTACAGTCAGCAGTACGACTTCGCCTTCGGACCTTGGTTTTGTTGCTTTTAGTCTTACCGCTCTTCAACCGACCTGTCTGGCATGGTAGGACCTTGAGGAACGGTTGTTCCAGCCAGTATAGCTCAGTTGCTTCATCACGATAGGCAAGCCCGACCACCACGTCAAGGTAGCAACAACTGTCAGGTGAAATCATAGAAATGGGTTGTTTGTTACAAAAATAGTTCTCATCATCAATGATTAATAGATATGTCATCTGAAGAATAATTTATTGACTATAGTTTAGATTGATCTAATTCTTAATCGGTTATCCTTTTTACTAATTATACATAGAGGAACTTGTTCAGAAATTAAAGTCAATTATGAATCATTCTGAAAGAAAACTGTATGTACTTATGGAGCGTATACAACCATATATTTTCGAAAATTCTATATTGAATTCAACTTCAGCTTCTGGAGAATTGAAAGTCAAGAAAATGGTTACTGAATTGGGTATTTTTGGCGCAATTCTTGCGTAAGTTTAACAACTAATAGTGTACTTTCTTTTATTTCTAGTTCATGTCATTTTGACTATGAAAACCAATGCAAAATGCTCTATATCAATAAATAATTTTCTTAGTGGTCGTTAATTTATATTCATTTTAAAAATTGGTAAAACCGTAATACTATCATTTATGATAGTATTATAGAGATTCAAATGAGTTATGTTTTTTCAGATGGAAGGAATGTTGACAGATTAAAATAAGGAATGATTGCATTATCCCGCAACTAATTTTTGATTTTCGAAATTATGATTGTTGGACTTTATGTGGCAGCCAAACCAAGACATGACATCAGTCCATAAATCATAGGCTATTACCCAGACGTATGTTGGTAGGTATACACTACTTGATCGGATTTATCATGAGGTTAAATAATAATTCTCAAAATCAAACAGATTTGTGGAGATGCATTCACTCTTTTCCTCTATTAGATCCAGATTTTAAAATTTATGTTATACCTTTTATTTCGTGAATTTCTTTTTCCGAATCTCTCTGTATTTACGCCTGTCACTCCTCATGGAGGAGCATAAGCCACTCACCAGCACGAATCTCTCTGTGCTGATAAAATATAGAAAAATGAGTCAATGCACATTTTTGCCGTCTCCCATGCTGCTAAATCTGTCACATTTTTCACAATAAGGTGTAAGTAAAAAACAGAATCTCCACTAAATAATGAAGGAAATTCTGTGTGAAAATACAATTTAAATGATTAAAACCTAAATGTTAGAAAATAGATATGTCAATCCACTTTAATTAATTTCAGAACATATTCATTTTGAGGTCTTTATCTATTTTCTAATGTTGTTCACTTTACTTAATCCAACGAAAATACATACAGTCAGCAACAACGTAGAAATTCGTACGTACGTACATCAGTTCAGGATATACGAGCAATGCATCGAAGACACTTAAGATCGAATACTAATTGTATTCAAGTAGAGCCTGTATTTGCACTGTTCACTGATTTTTCTTACGAATTGTAATTTAAATACTATCCCATTGCTTTTCCTTGTAAACAGGTGTAAAGATGAAATCTTTCTGAATGAATTTTCTGGTCACCTTCTCCGATCAAAACCACTGGAATCTAATGAAGGCGGAATAGTAGCAGGTTATGGTTGCCTTGACTCTCCATTCCTCGTTTAATACATTTCAATTTGTTTCAGTGAAATAACAATTAGAACTATTTTAAGAAAATACATGATTTGATAACTTTATTCATTATAGTGTAAAAAATGGAGACTCCTCATTCCCAATAAGTGATTTCATTAGGTTAAGTAAGTTTTACAGATTTGTACACTAACACAATCGTTTCAGCTATTAGTTATCAAGATGTAGTTTGCAACAGATCTACCTTAACATGAAATTCTTCGGGATCGCAGAGCTTTTAAGTTATTTACACAAGCATGTTCAAGCTAATGGGAATATTCGTCAATTGTTACCACATGAACTACCTTCACCTTATGCTGCAGTTACTGAGTTGCATCCATTTACTAATGACAAATAAAGTGTATTAGGTAGTTTGTAGAGAGGAAAGGGTTTCATTGTGAATGAGAATAATTCAATTGCTCTTAGGTATGCAGATGTTTAACATTCCCCACTGTACCCATATCGTTTTGGTGGGTTTAAGAAGAAAGTGGATCAGTGGCGAAGTTCTTGTAAACCTGATTATGACCACAAAGTCCAGGGGTTAGTTGCTTAAGTTCAAGGAAACACGATATATATTCTCCGTGCTTGCCAGATCGTATTATAAGCACTGGTAATCTGTCAGGGGAAATAAGGCCTGTTCCTTCCAGGGTTGAACCTTCATAGTTCCTTTGTTAGGCAGTGACACTGGGGTTGTTGTGGCGCATATGTATCTGTTACCTTCTTGTACCAATATTTATGTGTTCAAATAAATACTGGGGTTGTTATTTATCCGTGAGGAGCACTACTGCTGTTGTGATCAGCAAAATGACTTCACCCTCGGACCTCAAATTTGATGCTTTTGGTCTTGATCTCCAATCGACCCACTAAATATAGAATAACACCAAGTGCATCAGTCAACATAGATCAACATTATATGCAAGCCCAAACATCGTGGCGACGCACCAGAACCGGCAGATCTAAAGTAATTTATGAGTGGCACTGAACTGTGGATTCGAATCAGTTTGCCTACATTAAATAAAGGCTATGCTAACCAGTTCTTAATAGTGGTCGAATTCCCATAAATTAAAACCTTAAGAAATACCATTGTAATCCTGCATATAGAACAACTAAGGATTTTTACTTATAAAATGAAGTATTGAAATTTGAGATTCGTGGCGTTTCACAAAATGTTTTCAGCTGGTATCCAATCACACTACCAAAAGCCCACAATTTTATTGTGGATATCGACGAGGTTTTCACCTCTTGACTTAATTCACTCTAACTGTCAATGACTTCATGCTCTTATAATATCTTAGTCTGACATCATTTAGTCTTCTGTCAACATACTCCTTTGCTAACTACTAATCTACTTAGTCGTTAAACACATACTAACTTCTTTATTCGATGAATATTTGCAACCTTATCAGTCTATTTGCAATTACTACCTAGTAACCTACACCTAACTGCGACATCGCTGGGTGTTTCTATTATACTTGGACAGTCCTTGCAATTTATTTGATCTGATTGGCGTTTTTTAACAAGATGATACAACGAAGAAACTAGCAGAGAGATATGGTAAACTAGAGGAACTAATCAAGAGTAAAGAAGGCAAGCCAATCACTGAGATTCAAGAACGGAGGAAAAGATGAGTAGAGCGATTTGAGGGACTTCAAGATACGTCAGCCCCACTGAATCCATTGGACATCGAAGCAGCACATACAACCCTTCCTATAGATATTACTCCACCAACGACGGAAGAAATTAAGATGGCCATCAGAAAATTCAAAAGTGAGAAGACAGCAGTACCTGATAAACTACGAGCTGAAGTCGGACATAGAGGTTACTGCAAACATGTTCCATTCGAGAAGATCGGGGAGGAAGAACAAATACGGATGGACTAAAAAGAAGGATGCCTTATCAATAAATCAAAGAAAGGAGACTTCAGCAAATAAGAGAACTAAAGGGGGATCACACTACTGTCAGTAACAGAATTTTTCACCAATGTTCCTGGACCGGACGAAACATGCAGTGGACGCCCAAGTTCACGATCAACGGGCTGGATTCCGTAAGGACCGGTCGTGCACAGACCAAATCACGACAGTATGGGTCTTCGTCGAACAATCAATTGAGTAGAACTCGTCAGAATGCATCAACTTCATTGACTGTGAGAAGGCGTTTGACAGTGTGGACAAGAGAAAACTATGGAGTTCCTGAGAAGATTGTCAACATTATCAGGAACTCATACGACGGACTACAGTGCAAAGTCGTGCGTGGAGGACAGTTGACAGATGCACTCCAAGTACAGACCGCAGTCAGACAAGGCTATCTACTCTCCCCCGCTTCTTTCTTCTGGTGGTTGACTGGATTATAAAGACCTCCACATCTGATGGGAAGCATGGAATACAATGGACAACTCAGAATCTATTAGACGACTTGGACTTCGCAGATGACTTAGCCCTCCTATCCCATGCGCACGAACAAATGCAGATGAAGACAATTAGTGTGGCAAAAGCCCCTACATCAGTAGGCCTCAACATACAAAAGCAGGATCCTCAAATACAACACGAAGAATACTGACTCAATCACACTTGATCGTGAAACTCTGGAAGATGTGGAATCTTTCACGAACCTGGGAAGCATAATCGATAAACGAGGAGGATTGGATGAAGACATAAAGTCGAGGATTGGCAAAGCTGCACTCCTACACATGGGACTCAAAACAACTGCCAACCAATATCAAAGTCTTGATCTTCAGTACGAACGTCAAGACAGTCCTACTGTACGGAGCTGAAACGTGGGGAAGTACTACAACAATCATCAAGAAGGTATAAGAATTTATAAACGGTTGTCTACTCAACATACTGAATGTTTGTTCTCCGGACACCATCAGCAACAGCCTCAGTCAGTCAGTAACAACGTGGAACTTCGTACGTACGTACATCAGTTCGAGTTGCCATACCACATTAGCACAGAGATTCAGTTATCGATTCAAATGCCATAGTGGTAGAGGTACTGAAAGTATAAGTAGAGATAGGGGACATTAAGGTTTGATGATGTTGGAGAGAGCAAACCAGCTTCCAACTGAAGAGGAAATTAGGAAAAGACGTTGGAAGTGAATGGGACATACGTTTCGGAAATCATCGGACTGTATCATAAGGCAAGCACTTATTTGGAATGCTGAAGGGAAACGGAAAAGATGAAGGTCGAACACACTGCACTGAGAACTAGAAGCAGACTATGAAAAGGATGAATAGCAACTGAACAGGGTTAGATGGAGAGTGCTGATGAGCGGCCTATGCTCCTCCACTAGGTGTAAGTAATCCTCGCAAGTTGTTTGTGGTCAGATATTGATTACCTATCATATTCTCAGTTAAGTTTTGGGAGTCAACAGAGGTTTCGATGTTCATAAAGAAAGTATGTAGCCGATCACTGTCCATCACCTTACAGCGGAGGAACATAGATTATGAGGACGGAAAGCCTCCGTAAGCTTTTGGCATTCGGTCGTCAGCTTTTCTTGAGCCATGAGGTGCAACTTGCCCAACTGTTTAAGAAGCACAGTCATCTTAATGAGACCTAGTCGTTTCATCTTAGTTTTCGGATGCAAGCTTATAGGAAATTTACGAGACGCAACAATTTCAAGTTCATGAACTACAATATTTACATGACAACACCAATAAACGTGGACATGTTCCCGAACTTTCCCAATACAAGTTGACTACATCGATCTAAAACCTACCAGTTTGGTTAACCCCTCAAGGTAATCACAGATATTGAACTTTATTATAGCAGCACTTTGAAACTCAATGACCTACTTAATTTAGCAGGAACCACTCCACTCCTAGGTTTACTGGTGTTGCTAGACAAGAACTCATATGTATTCTTATAGACCTCTTCAACAAACTAGTTCTTTAATAACACACATTAGGATGACATGATTCATGTATGATTGTTGGCATTTTTCTACTTATCATGCGTAGGTATAAGTCTGTTCACTCTCATCACTTATGACAGCAGACAGTTCAGTATCAGTACTTCAGCGACTGTCTCCACAACGAAAAGTAAATTGCACTAAGAAAAACTACTGGATCAACAACTTCGATATTTTACACCAGTAGGATTCATCAAACTACTGTTTGAATAATAATGATTGCAAGGTACTGTAATGAACCGGGGTAGAAGAACAACACTAGCTTTTTCCCTTTTATATCTATAATATGCTTCGGTAAATAGCGTACGTAGATACCATTATTTCGCGCACTTTCTTGATAGAGCTAGTGGTGCCGACTGGTTACCCAAACCAGAGTAGAAGTCAACTGTTGTGATCGCTGAATCATTACTCTACAGAATAAGAATACATACAATAACCCAGCTAACTTTTCTTTGAAATAGTATTAATCCTAATATTACTCTGAAAAGTACAAACTGATAGACTTGTAAAGATGGTAGGTTAGTGAAAAAAAATAGAAATCCAGAATAACAATACAACCGTAGATTTAATACTAGGAATGAAACTCGAAGATTGCGAGATACGACCTGCCTATCGGTCAAAGTATATCCGTTTCTTTACTCAAAAAGCTTCGGATTTCATCCAGTAGCTCTTGCTTTACTGTGTCTGGTACCATACGTCGACCGACTGGGGTGATCTCAGCTACCAAATCGTCTACTGTTAGATTTTCAATCCCGCGATCCCGAATAACATCTGAAATTTGAAGAGGGAGAGAGCATTTACTCAAGCTGAATATACAGGTAGGCTCGATGCATTCTAAAAGAAGGCAAAATTATGCGTTGAATGTACGTGATTAAAACAGATTTCAATGACTAGGCTGCTGGGGCTGTGAAAGTTACATTACTACTTATCTCACGAATTGGTAACAGTCATTCACTCCATAGATGTCATTGAGGTATTTTAAAGTCTTTTTGATATCTTGAAACTCCACTAACTTGCTCTGGAACTTTGATATACTGACCTATAAAAGTCACATGATAACCCAAGGTCCCATAGTATCTCAGACGCTAGTGTATAAAAGATACAGAAAGTATGTGGATTTTCCACCAACTAGTCCCTGGTAGCGTCGATCTAGTTATCTGCACTCATGTGTGATTCTATGTGTATTCATTCGGTATTTGGCAACGCAGCTTCCTATAGTCTCACTTTCCTGCTAATTTACACCGATTAACTGTTTAAGACTGTGCAGTGTCAGAACCAAACCATAGACTATAACAGTTTTCTCGAGAAATGCCATGTCGGTTGAGGGGTCCGAAATCAACAGATTGAGGTTGCTGATACGTGTTACACATGTCTAGTCACGATTTGCTCCTATGCATTGTGCTGGCCATATCAGGTAGGAAGGCTATGAGAGACCGAAACAACATGTGATTTTGGCGGAGTTTTAATTTCTTAATCGAGTGATTCGATCGTGAAGTTTTCATTATGCTTCTGAACAGCATCATTAACACAAACTTCAGCTAGAAACGAGGTATTCAACAGTACAATAAAACTATTCATCAGAGAACGAGCCTTTGCTAAACACGTTTACCTGATTTACGAATCTCCACCATCACAGGACATAGTACCGAATCATGACTTCGTTGACTGATGGCCTGAGACGCGTAAGGAAAAGCACACTTACTAATTTTGGTAATAAACAATAATCATAATATGTAATTAAATACGTTAAACTATAGCAAAGTATTGATGAGAGTGGTACAATTGCACTCATTTTCTATATTTCTGCGCATTATATAGTTAGCGTCATTTAATAGTTTTCACATCCATATCATTTGTTCTATTTCATTTTGTGTGGTTTTTTTAAAAATAAAACTACTAATTATAATACTTTGCTTTTTCAATTAGTTCTCTTTATTAACACTTATAAAGAATACTTTGGAGTATTCAAATTACTTGAGAAAGTTAAGTTAATATAGAGTCTACTGATATTGCCTATCAAACTTTGGTTAGATACTTGGAACCTGCTGCCCGAAGCAGTGTTCACACCTTCAATTGACTCTTTCAAGAGAAGTCTGGACACTCACAGAAGCATACTAGAAAAGGAATAACATAGGCTGTAGGCCTACTGTCCTTACCATACAAATCTGAATCTGAAAATGTTGTATTAACTAAAGAAGTGGAAGGTGAATATAATCATTACTTTAAGATTCAATTGAAATAACATTTTTATGTTTAAGGGCGTAGTCGAATTAATGCATCCTAAATTCACGTAAATTTCTAAAAGCTAAGTAGATAATATATACACATTTCACTGAGAAAAGGAGAACTAATTGCAAAATTGATATTCTTGAAAATTAGCAGCGCGTATTTTCGCCCTTAATACACTTACTATTATCTACAGCCGACTAAGTGATATTCGTTTATATCTGTAAATGAGAAAATTTTCTATATACAAATATATCCAATAATAGAGATTAACAGTACTAAGGGACTAACCATCTAACAGTTGACAACGCAAGTAAGGATTACAGTTCATATGTTACTGAAGAACAATGAGCAACCACGTAATTGCTCAGAAAATCCTGAGTAATCTAGGAGGTCTTGATCAGAAGACTACATCAGGCCATGATCTAACTCTTATTTTATTTATTTATTTATTTTAACACATAGGTATTGGTACAAGGAGGCACCAAATACATATGCGCCACACGAATCTCAATTGATTTGTGTGAGGGCTGTGATACTGCCCGGGTGCCCAAACCGAAGCAAGTGGTTTTCTTAGGGGGCCACACCCCGTGCCTTTGACCTGAATGTCTGACCCACAAGGCAGTGGAGCATCGTGAGGAGATGCAGTCCCATGGTAGCCGGTGACCAACGATTGGTTCATACGCCATTTGTTCCTTCAGGATACTGGAGCCCATGTGCACCATTGGTTTGGGATCCGGTTAAAGCGCCGGACATTCGCTTTTCGTCCTCTCATTTTCGTAAACAACACCCCCGCCACGTGAAGGCAGTGAGTAGGACTTCCCTGGCAGGGGCTATGTACGCGTGGCCATATGAGAGCATTTCGAGAGGGAGAGCGGACTCTCCCCACTCTCGGCCGTACCAGGGCATTTGGGGGATTGGTGTCCAGTAAGTGGACACAAGTATGGTTCTGCACTTTTGTATGCGAGTGTTATTTGATATGACCGAAGCTCATCGGCGGTCTTCCGGGATGGAGCGACAGATAAACATACAAGATAAAACAATAATTTGAAAGACATGATATTTTCATGCCACACACTGTCAACTTTTTGTTTAAGATTACCACTAGCTCCCAACTGTGAGTATTATACTTCTACATCTTATCTGTCCCACACATCATTCAAAGCTAATATCTTACAGATTCAGTGTAACAAACCAGAAGATTGTCTTGCGAGATGACAATACGAACTCAGTTACATACAAAGTATATCAACCTCAAGATATACCCTTCGAGAAATATACCTTTAAAATTCAAATTATCGCAGTAAGATGGCTAAATTAGACGCACTGGACGCTACTACAGGACTTAAATCATTCCGTGAACGCAGGATGCGAGGGCTATTATTACCATGCTATTGAAAATCATTATTTGACAAATACTTTTGGGCCTCCTAAATCTTCTCGAAGCTATGCGACACAAATATCGTTACCATACTAATAAATTTCTTAACTACATGATGTAAATTTAACTTAGCTTCGAATAGCTAACCTCGGCAATGGCTTTTCAGTTCCTCGCTCCAGCCGCATTCACTCAGGCGTGTTCGTAAAAGGTCTTTAAGTTTTTCTTTTTCTCCACTGCGACTAAGCCTCTCGTTAATATAGGCACGAAGTCGGGATTTATCATCACTAAAAATAGAAAGTTAGGTACGACAGACTAACTCCAAGGTCATGTCTCTTTCAAAAGAGGCTCTGTCCACTACCATAGGTTACACATCTAGAGACATTTAATTTATTTCCAGATTTGATTTGAGTATTGAGTACAGAAGACCTACGTCATATGATAGTCCTCTGAGAGTGTTCTGTATTTTTGTCGGATGAAGAGTTGGAAATTATCTCATAAGGTAAAAATTTCCAAAAGTTGATGAATACTAGTTTTATACATGCATCAGAGTCATTCGTCTATTTTAAGTTTTCAGAGACTTCATTTAGTATGTAGGAATCGTTTCGAACTATCCAGATAATTTATTCTCACCGAAGACATGGACTTCTGTATGTGTATCAGTTTACGAAGTTGGTATCCCAAATAATAGTCAATACCAACAACGGCGGAGTAACGAAACACTCCTGTAACTTCAAGCTTTTAATAAGCAGAGCCGTGAACAATAGATTTTGCTTGCGGTTATTAAAAGGCAGAAAATAAATGCATTCACCAGCATTCTGAACTGATGGAAAGTCCGTTGTAAGCAATCATTGATGAACAACATTCGTTTTTGTGATTGCGTTGAACCAACAATTAACTCAAATGCAATATTGTTAATGTATTATCACGTCAAAAATACTTATTTGATTAATCAGTAATCAACTTTTGCAACGTACTATCAGTGCATGCACTGGTAAAATGAGGGATATAACTATCATTTAACGTCACGGGACCAACCCGGTTTGTGATACGTCCCATATGATATGAAAATGCAATACGAATGAATAACAACCATACAAGTCACTAACACTGACATGGGTGATCATGTTTTCTGTGCATTTTTGAACATTGCCGAGCTGTTATTTAGAAATAACGACAAAAGGCAACAGACTGATTCGTCGTGAATTTGATTATTTTCATTTGTTTTAACCAATATCGTTCAGTTAATGTGCTTAAGAGATACGGACAGCTAAATTTTTACATATAATTTATGTGACATCTGATTTTATTATAAATACTCCGAAACCTACTTATATCGCTATTAGCAAAATTAAACATTGTAACGCAGAAGTCAAGATTAGTGTGATTGATTTGCAGATCGTCAAAACATTTGCCATTTTCTTCACTTTCCCTGTGGCACTCATCAATTTACTTAATTTTCGTTCAGAACATGGATATGAACCCAGAAGTATTAATGAGGCATAAAGTGACTATTCCGGGTCTTTCAAGCGAACGCAGTTTCATTCAGTAAATTACGAATTATCATGACAGAGTAAATTTGTTGCTGCACTGCTGTTAGACAGTCTGCATTCGAAATCGTACTCTTCTTATTTTATTCCAGTATCTTGTTATGAGATATTACATCAAATGTTTTTACACTAACGTACGAAGACGGAGTGGTAAACTGAGAGAAATTAGGAACACGTGCATTCAGTTAGAATTGTCGATCATAGCGCTCACTAACAAACGGTTATCACCAGACGTCATTGTTAGAAAGGTTAATTCGCAAGACACGACACTTTGACGATACTAGAGGCCACAGAAAACAGAAGTGAATTGGGGATATACATTGACAGTCACTTCACAGCCATAACACCATACATTGCCGAATTAACTGAATGGACGCAAATGACCAGCTTCTGATTGAGCGTGTCCACGATCACACACTAACTGGAAGTAACAGCTCATGTGTAGTAATCTTTAGAGCGGTCACAATTGAGAAACTGTGGATTGACGAAAATTAAGGTGTTTCTCGTGGTCACGGGAGTGGTAAAGCCAAATATTGAATGACCACTGGTAGATAGGAATGAATTCGATATATTACTGAAAGTAATGGACCTCAGGGATAGAAGAGGCTTTGCACACCTTCCACAGAACTTACCGGTAACCTAGCTTAAATAGAAGACTTCTTTGAAGCAATCTGAACACGTCTCTAATATTTTAAACTACATAAGCCATAGCGAAAGGAGATGTCTACAGATCATGCAAGCAGCCCAATTTTAAGCCACCTCGAAATATTTCTGCCGATTTGTGACCAGGTGAATGTCCGCAAACTAAGAGATCTGCACTCCTCAAGTGCAACATGGCTAAGATCTCGCCAGTTTAAAGATAAATGGAGTATTTAACTCCAACCTCGTAAATCGACCAAGCCAAAATATCGTAGGCTCTGGACATCTTTCAAATCTGCCGCCAGTTGAGAGTCTGGGAGATATCCAACGAACTCCAAGGTTAGTATTGAAATCCTTCCGTTTAGAAAAGTCACCAGAACGTGACAATATCAAACCTATAACCCTAAAACCATATGCGGCAACCATCAGCACATCATTGTGTGACCTGACCAGCCATTAAATAGATTCACACATCAGCCATGTCAATTGGACCAGGTCACTCCTTTCAATCTTCAAAATGGAGATAGAAAATATAGAACATATTATAGGTCAATATCCTTACTCTCCATACAATCGAAGGTAATGGAGGTGTAGAATCATGGTGTTCTTTGTCAGTAGGACCATTATAAAAATAGACATAATTCTAAAACTGTAGATTTTTCATTATGTAACTGTCTAATCTACAGGATATTTTGCGGAAGTCACATTATTGTGTACACTGACTCATGGTATCGCAAAAATCAAAAAAATGTCTGAACTTAGTAAAGAAAACATTTAGGCTAAATATAGAGTAGTATATTTAATGAGAGTAAAGACGAGTTTTACAGAGTGACCATGTCTACGAGGTTGAGTCATACCATCCGACTTATTTAATTCAGTATTCCCGCGTTCCCCATTGTTAACTTTTTCTTCATGTCAAATGCTGAATCTATAAATATTTACTAGCCACCGTTTCGATAAAACCAGCTCATCGGAACTGATATCGCTAGATAACAAAAAGATATGGAGGCCCAGTAAATGGGAAAACGATTCAATTGAGTTTCTAACGGACCTTGTGATAACATAGGTGCGTGTGGTGGATAATATGTTAAAACTTGACCTGTTGAAATTTAATTTCACAAGAAGTTTGCCTAATTTGGCATAACGCACTTATTTTACACATCGAGTCCGTTCGAAATTGCTTATTCAGAGAGTGACCTCGAGCTTGTAGCCACAGGCAATACGTCCTAGTGTAACTCTCTACGAAATGTGGAGATAACTAGGAATGGTCATCGCGCAGATGTTCCGAACACTGTTTAAAATTTACGAGCTGCCCCACTTTGAAGTTCTCCCTCTTCCAACGAGATATAAATATCCCAGATCAAGTACAAGGATGGGGAACCACGTGGGTAATAGGGTTACAGCATAAATATAACAAAGATAGACTTCAGCACCTGAGAATTTCCTCGCCGAGCCGTAGGAGAGTAAGAATTAGTATTGGCATACAAAATATTAAGTACTCCGAGGTACCCTAACACCAGAATATTATTTGGACATCACCACAACTCTACTCAAGACACTACTCGAAATGCTGCATGTCGAAGAACGAAGACTCGGTTATGCTCTTACTTTTCTCATAAAGGGTTGGAACCATTCGGAGTGCTCTCCCAGATAAAGTGACCACAGCACCCGCAGTGGACAGCTTTAAGGGGAGACTTGATAAACACGTACTCACTCATGGATTGCTATTTCCCTCTCGGACCAGCTGTATCTGGTGCATGTATCACAGCTTACCTACTGTTGCCAATAATTCACACTAACAACTTGTTTCTATATTTCTTAATATCATCTAAGTTATCCTCTTATTCTTTCTATTCTATCCCCTCACATAATACATATTAAATAAATTATTTACCTAGTTTTGGGACTGTCGTGATCTCTTGTCATCTTTGTCATTACTTTAATATTTCCACATTGTGATCAACCAACCGCCTGCCTGGTGATGTTATAGCTGCTAGTATCCAGAATCCCTACGCACTCACTCGAATTTCAAGATATACAAATGCACAAATAAGTACTAAAATAACTAGAAGTATTTCAGTTGAGTGGCTAGAACAATACACACTGAACATTAGCAGATACCTGGTACCGTATTGGAACAACAAGAAGCGATCACAGACACCTAACGTTTTACATAAACTCATGCCAAAGATATTGTATATTGACTCTAGGTCAGAATAAGTTTGTTATGTACCATCTATTAACGTGGATTTTACTGATTTCAAAGTTGTCATGTACCTCAACGGAAAAGCTGCCGGTTATTATCTGGCATGGGATGGGTTTGTTATTTTATGCGGCTCGCTTATTTTGAAGGCGATCGAGGAACGGGTATGGGTATTCTGAAGCTAGCTAAAGCAATACGAGACGAAATACCTGGGACATATGTTAAATGCATTACCACCAGCGACTCAGTAATCCGGGTGAGTGCATATGTGTTTGTTTCTGAATAACTTATTAGAACAATAAGTTGTCATATTAAGTGCATATTATATACACTTTATCAAAATGTATATAACACAGAGTACCAAATATACTAAATCTAAGAATATAAACAACTAAATGGCAACTTAGTATTTTAAAAAATTAGTTTTCTTTAGGGGAAATAGATTTTCAGTGCTTCTAAGTTTTCTGAAGTCCTTACCTATAAGAAGAACAAATGATGATAGCTTTATGAAAGAACTCTTTATGCTATTGAAACATTCGGAACTATAGATCATATACTAGCTGAACAGTTCCAAAAACGTGACAAAATACTGGATTATTATCTTCCTTGTGTTTGTTGTTGACTTTAAAATAACCTGTGACCGGCGAATAGAGTATACTACTACTTATAATACAACTTAATAGTGATAAAATGAAAAAAACTTTGCTGGTGATTTTATGCCCCATACCTAACGGTTTTGTCAAGTTGATTTGGACATCTGCCAGAAGCAAAAGGAATTTAATCAATTTTCATTAAATACTGGGCAGATATAGGTAGACAAAATGTTTTTAGGTCAGTAAATTTGTTCGGAGTTAGACCTTGAATTCATATCCAGTTTATGAAGAAGATGATTGATTAAGTCACATTTCATTCAAACGAAATTAATAACTACCATCAGAGTGGAGGATTACAAGCATAGGTTGCTGTTATTAAAAGCTTGTTTACCTCGTGGTGCTACTTGGCTTTTGAGAAAAACAATAAATCCTTAACGGATAACTCTGGATATTCATCGTCCTATAATTCGTGATAAAATTAAATTTTGCAAATTCGAATGACTTTCCAAATTCATAACTTTCTGACAGCAGATTATTATGATAAAATCAGTGATTTTTGACTGTCGTTAACAGGATATTAGTTACCAATCAAATCAAGACTTTCAAAGTTGTGGTTAAGATCCCTTATAAACATGCTACATTGAATATGTAAATTCTGCACAACAAAGTTATTGATAGGAAGGAAACACACAGCAAACTAATGATGAAGTTCGAAAATGTTGGGTTTCAAACAAGTTGTTAAACAAATTATTATAAAAATGATTTTGAAAAGACCAGATGTTCCTACAGACTTTCAGACGATTATGAAATTTGACTTTCTTACGTGAATTTTTATAGAAAAAGTTATCTCACTTAATTTGATCCAAAATGCACACACATCATCTGATGAGTCATTATATTCCCAACTAACTGAAGTGTAAAGTTTAAACTATTCGGTGTGGATAAGAAAAAAATCTCATATAAGTTGTAATAGGTTAAAAGTTGTTGTATGCAAGTATTAGTATAACTTAAATAACCACCAAACGTTTTCATATCTCAATTTGGTCAGTCAACTTCCCTCTCCCCAACTTGGCCATTTTTACATCTACTGTAAACTTATATACCGCTTTATTGTGTGCAACTTATTCAGTACCAGGATAATAATTCTATCTACCTTTTAGTAATTTCTATTGACTTTGATCTTAGCTTCTCAGCACTTATTTTTTCCCCTCTTTGTAGGATATCGAAGATACATATTTTATGCCGATTAATGATCAACTGGATTATGTTTGTCGTATGATACATGAAGATGAAAACTTATCTAATGGTTTGCATATGATTGGTATATCACAGGGTGGATTATTTGTTAGAGCATTAGTCCAAAAATGCAACTTATCGAAAGTCGGCACAGTTGTTTCTATTGGAGGACCTCAACAGGGTATATTTGGGATACCAAAATGCACATTTGATGGCTTTATTCATCTGTGCTTATTAATGAACGAGCTACTTTCATATGGAGCCTATATTAAATTTATTCAGAGTCAGTAAGTGCTAGCCAAATTAATAAGGAATTATTAGTGGTTTTGGATTCACTATAGTATGTTAGCACAACTATAAGTCGGGTACGAGAAACTATATTTTTAGGCTTTATGCATAATAAAGTGTGTCAGTATCCAAGGCGTCTAAATGGTAGCTTTTTTACAGTTAATTGTAATTTTAAAGTACACTTAATTTATTACTTAATATTACTATAACTTTTCTTGTTACTAGGTAGTGAAAAAGGTGTACTGAAAGAGATACATGATGAAGAAGTTCCGGGTGAAACTAGCCCACATCACAAATGAATTTTAAGAAAACCTCTTTATTTACTCTTTTTTCCCATGACAGATTTATTGAAATATCGGTCAAAATTCACAGTGTTTATTAATTTTTGATAAAATTCTGAAAATAACAGAGACATTTAAGTTCTTAAAAACGCATCTTTGAAAGCTGAAACGCCCAGTTCGAAAACTTAATTTAAAATGGCGAACTTACTTTTTGAGCACAGTTGACTCACTTGGAATTCTACTGAAGCATGTGAGTGGTACATAGGTTATTGAGAAGTACAACCAATTTATTGAATTTCTGTTCATTAATTAGGCCAGACTTACATATGGCTTCCAAAGAAGCCAAAGAATCTTGAATCGTGTTAAAGGTCAGAACTAGTGTGCTATCTCACTAGAGACAGGTGTTGATTGGGCATCTAAGATATAAACCCACATCTAGAATGACCATATTGGTTATTCGTCTCGGCCATATACAAATTATGGTGATTGTTTTAATTGCAGGAAGAGCAATCTATACCATCTAAATAATTCAGTGTGAAGATTAACAGTATTTGAACTGTGCAGTATATTAGCGAATTACCTTCTTTACAATTTGATCATACATTTACTGGTTATGAAGTTTTATACGAAGAATAACTGTCTAGCCAAACAAATTGGGAGAGACGAAAAACGTTATGAATTACACTACTCTAGTCAATAAATTTGTATTACTAAGGCAGGTTATGTGAAAGTATAAATTGTCTTTGAGCTCATAGATGGGGTAAATTTTGTATGACAAAACCTCCAGTAAACTTAATCATTCTCTCTATTCAAAATTTGGCCAAAACCACAAAGTGTGAGTTAAGGTCGATCCTAAAACCCGCTTAAAATATATACCTAGAAACGAAAGAAAATAAATGTTCATTATGTAATCCTATCGGTTTACACTTTTCTCGAGTCTTGATTATAACAGCTGTTTTCTGCTATCACTGATACTCGTAGTACGTTTACTACTCAGGTAACTTGCTGTGTTAGTGATGCATGATAACTTGAACCGACATTAATATGTTCCAGGTTCTCCAATCAGTACGACTGACCGACTATCTCACTATACAACTGAATAATTTACCACACACCGAACTTTGGAAAGTATCAACAAAAAGTCAGTGATCGTTTGTCTGTCTTCAGGTAGCAAATACTTGTCCGAATTATTTTTTGCTATTGATCACATCCGCTTTTAGTTCTTTTAAAGGTGCTACTAGTCTCAAGCTCGGTTAAAGGGGGTCGGGCATGGAGTCGGCAACCCCATCACGTAGAAAAAAGTTTGCTAAAAAACGCCAACCAGATTAAACAAACTAGACCATTTAAATGCTGCCCTCCGAGTTCAAGAAAGAATTATGACGCCTCATGATGAATCCTGAGATTCTTTAGAAGTCACAAGGTCGATACCCCTCCTACTAACCAGAGCAACAATTTTTATAGGTACCTGAAACGTTCGGAAAATGTGGGAGACCGGGAGGACTGATCAAATAGCTATGGAAATGGGGAGACACAACTTGGAGGTTCTCGTAATCAGCGAAACTCATTGGACCCAAGCTGGACAGCAAAGGCTAAATACGGTAGAGATGCCACTGAACACCAGTCACGAAGAGAAGAATGCTCCATACACCCAGGGAGTTGCTCCGATGTTAAGAATTTCATTCCACTTATTGTTCTAATTTCAGATAAATATAAATAAGTTACAATAACGATCCTTGACACAGATATGGCTAGTAGTCGAAAGTGTTGTTAGAGGTTTTTTGAATTTTGAGGGTCTATTCTAAATCATTTTATATGAAAGTATTAAATTATTTCTTGCAATATACTCACATTCAAAAATATGAATTTATTCTTTTTGTTACGCAACAAGCGTTGTTCAAGCTCAGTACTGGCATGATCCATTGGAGGAAGATGTTTATCGCAAATACTCCCAATTTTTAGCTGATATTAATCAGGAAAACGTAAGCTTTGTGTGGCTAAAAGATAATTGTATATTTGTCCAGACTGAAATTACGTAAAATTTAGATCTTTGGTAACCTTTGTAGTTAAAGAAATCATGTCTTAAGAAACTACTCTTATATTTTTAGATGAAGTAATAATATTTATTTTATTAAATGTCAAACATCTCTAGTAACTCACCTATTTGCATCCTGCGTAACATTCCGAGATATGACACTTAATGACGCTGTCTCAGCTACAATCACTTGTTTCAAGCTTGTAGGCATGTCTTACAGATGAGTGACAAACAAAATGAAACCAATATACAATGTTTTCTGACAATTGTCCCGTCAAGATTACATCAACATAGGTATCCTGTTGAATTCTGTTAACGATCACCACTACCCTGAAAGATATGTAAGTTATATTGACAAGTCCTTGAAAGTCATACAGCATGCCCTCTAGTAGCAGATAATGACGGTCTGATTTTTTTCACAAGAGACACACATTTGATTTAAATCAATTTACACCACCAAGGCATCACGTTACTGGTGTTAATTTAAAATAATTATTCAATATAAAGGATTATTTATTGGATATAAACGGTTTATGGTGGTCCAGTCATAATTGAAAGTATCAAGAGTTAGTTATCATGGCATTATTCTTGACTTGTATCTTGATGGATCAGTCTTGAAGTCACTAATACACTATGGTAAACAAGAATGTAATTACATCTTAATGAAATAATTATATTTTGCAAACACATTATAATATTAGTTAATAGTGGATATTTAATTCACTTCAATTTTCAATCTACATTCAGATTCTACTGATTCTTCCTGTTAAAGAGTAATAAAATTCAAAGAATAAGAATGAATAGTTTTTATTTCGGATGACTTTTCATAATTAAATTAACTTGTTGACTATTAACATAAACCAAAAACTTTATAATATCTCCTTTTTCTTCTTATGGACAAAAAACATTTACTTAATTTTTGTATGTTTCATTTACTCTTTTTTTTGGTGCTCTAGGAAATAAACGAAATTTATCGTGAAAAAATGAGAAATATTCAAAGATTAGTATTGGTAAAGTTTTCAAGTGACACTATTGTAATCCCAAAAGAATCTGAAGCAAGTGTATTGATTAGTTAAAACAAAATGTATATTTCTTAAAATAATTGAATATGTTCAATTGGAAGTATTCTTTTGTTTAACATCTAATTTCTAAACTCATTTTAAGCGTTTTGATTAAACAAACTTAACAAATTTACTGTCATACTATAATGAAATCGAATAATCTACTTTAAAATGAGTAAGCCATTTAAGCTAGTCTCTGTTTCATTAATATTATATATATCATCGTCTAAGTAAGTGTTAACACCGCTACAAATGTTAAGTTCTGTTGCAAATAGTGCATTAATTTGATATTCACGATTTTTAATATTTATTGACACTATGTACTAAGTATGCCTTAGTGATAAAAATCGACAATATCGGAAACTAAAGTCTAGGTTATTTAACCTTCACACCATAGATAATCTACAATGTTTTTAGTATGTAATTAGAATAATATCATTTAATTTAGTCCTGATATTGTATCAATCAATGTTCACACCAATACTTTAAATTAAAACATTAAAAATGAGATTATCTGATAGGTGATATAGATACTTACAATGTTCTAATTTTTGTTAAATAATATTTTAGTATTGGACTTTACCTAATATCAGTATGAATATTTTTGTGCGTGTGTGTGTGGATTTATTTACATATTTATATATTTATTTTAAGTTAGTATATTTCGAATAGTGCCAGTATAGTTTAATTATTTACTTATAATTTAAAAGATTAATTAATTTAGAATTTGTGTAGTTTCCGATTTTAGCATACATTTTTATACACTTTTTTAATATGTTTTTAAATCTGTGCGGAAAGCTATATATCATTGCACTCATCGAAAACATGTTTTGTTGAAATATATCCAAACTAGACCTAATATTATGGTTTTTTATCTGAGCTAGTTCGTAATTGAATTCCCAATTAGTTTTGATTTTACTTGAACCATATAACCGTTGACTTTTTTTCAATCTGTAAGGGTAGGCTGAATTGAATGTTTACAAATATAAGTTAAAAACTCTGCAGTTTGAAATTCTCTCGTGTTTTCTAATCAAAATAAATTGATGACTTTAAATTCTATCTCCCGACGTAAGTTGCAGTCTTAATTTGAGTTAATGACATGAGTTGGTAAGTATTGTTTACAAAAGAAAATGAAAAAATAAAAGATATCTTCTATATCTTTACTTCATAAGTCATGAATAGTAATTATGGATCAGGTTTTATAGGTTTATTTTATATTTCCAGACTATTGAGTACAAAATCTAATTCTTGTATTGAATAGTTATCTACAACAGTTGCAACAACTCTTAACTTATTAGTTAACCGATCTTAGTTTTATGGTGGTAGATATGTCATTTGACTATTCACATTAATTTTATATTTAATGAAGTAACACAAGGAATTTTTGAAATAACTCAGTTGGGTAGACAGAGGTGATCCAGTAATTAGCGGGAATTAATTCAAGTAAACTCAGTGTACCAGAACCTTCGTGTACCTTAATGTCAGCAACAATGTAATAGTTGAATATCTTACAATAACTGTAGCTATATTAGAGGAGACAATATTTGATATATTCTTTCTATAATTAAAGTACGTTTCAATTACACTGATCATTTAGTTGTTTCCGATGACTGGTAATCTTTTACTGTGAAGAATTAAATACCATCTCTATAGATTCTGATGACCAACGGACTGTAAACGCTATCTTGGTCTATATGTCATCGTGAGGTGTAAATGATTGCAACTGATTTAAATTTTCTATATGTAGTTTCGAAAGTATTTGAAATTCAGGAATTATAGTAAATATGACTTTTTTCTGATATCATAAAAAATCTTTTTCAGTGGTTTGGATTTTATCAGAATGGATCATCGACAAACATAACAGCATTACAGGACAGTATTTTGTATACTGAAGTAAGTAACTCATTTGTATGTCCAAACTGCCTTATTGTTTGTATATGATAATTGCTAACAATCATAAATTAAAACATACAAATGATGACAATAGAAAGATTCAAGTCAAAAAATAAATTCCCGTTACCAGACATCAAAAACTTGATCACGCATGTCTTTTTCTTAAGCTGAGGGTTACATCATGAGACTAAACATATGGAAATATATCACATATGAATAAATCAATAAACCTTTCTTGTTTTTTGCTTTTGGTCAAAATATATGAGAAAATTAGATCAAATTGGACGATCTGTTCGTTTTTAGTGATAGTAACACGATGTGCTTGGCTGACCGTTGTTAAACCATATGTGAGAGGTTGATATAAATAATAAGATTTTATTTCCTTGGCAAAAATAAAGCATCCAGAAACAGTAAATTGATATATTGATTCATTAAATAACTTATTAAAGTGACATGATGCTTGTTTTAAATTAACAGGTTTGTGAGGAAACGAAGTGAAGTTGAGTATATTAAGGGATTTATTTTATGATGTATAGTTAACGTTTGATGATTCTCATGAAGATTAATGTGCCTAGTAAGTGCTGAGAAAAATAGATTTAACAAAGCGTATCACATTTATTTGACAATGTAATATCAATTCTAATGACAGACTAATGAATTTTGTGCATAATCAAAAATTCGTCAGGAGAATGCTGAATAAGTAGATGAACTATACATTTGATTTGAATGTTACAGATAACTAGAAAAATCATCTCTATGAGATTCATCAAATCAAAATTGAATGGGGGGGTCTCAAAATGAACAATTTGAAGTTATCTACATTGATTTTATCACTTTTTTATTCAAAATAAAATTTAATTAATTATATTTCAAAATCATTTAACAAGCATCTTTAATAAATTCCTTTATTTCAGGATCGTCTAGGCCTCAGAGAACTTAATAAAAGGGGTGATTTACATTTTATTGAGAAAGATGGTGATCATTTACATTTTGATGTGAATTGGTTTATTGAAAAAATTGTTATTGCTTTTCTGAAATAATTTCGATTAATAAAATATACACTATTTACTTCGTAAACTTTAGAGTAACATATATATTATTTTTGACCAATCAATCAAAACAATTCACAGAATACATAAATCTTTCTTGATTTTAACATTTCATTCATCTTACATTTTCTGAAATAAAGTTACTGGTACATCATACACTTTAAAACGTACTCATTAAACTAAAAGGTTATCTATTCTAAATGACAATTAAATTATTAACTAATGATTAAAATCAAAGCAGAGCCTTCACTTGAAATATAATGACCACTCAAAAATTGTTTGAATTGTTTCAAATCAAGCTTCGATACTGATCTGTCAAAGACGAGATTCACTCTAGTGTTTGGTTAATTAAAACAAAAAACAACGACCTGAAACATTTAGTCAATTGCCTTATAAGCTATAAAACATAACAATGGACTTATAAACACATAAATCATATAAATATTCAACGACTGACTGCATTAATTCACTCCAAAAACTTATGATTAGTTGATAGAGAGCATATAAATAACATTATTACTTTTTCTCTTACTTTAAATAGAATATTCGATGTGGGTGGAATATTTGTAGACAACATATTTTTGTCTGTTTTCTTGAATACGAACAATACTACGCTCATTAAAGTGATGATATATTCAGTTAAACTATTAAGCTGATTTACTCTAATAACTAGTCACGATCACTATTCTTTGTGATCATTCTCCTGTCATGTTAATGTAAGATAATCTACCACTACTGTTACCGATTTCATTCACATTAGTGGTTGCTTTTCAGTGTTCTCAAGGGTCATTGTCATTGGGACAATTTAACGCATGTCTCCATTACTAATATTAATGAGTTTGACTGTCGTGTAAGCGGAATAGGTCAACTTTGGCCTATTCGTGCTGTGCATAATTGATTCACACGATCAGTGATCGGAATAACTACATATGTGATGTGAATGTGTATATGATTGGTGCGATTGGTCCACCAGCGTGCTTGGTACCTGTGTAGTTGCTTCACAGGATTGAGTTGCACTATTCAGATTGTAGCGTTAAATCCTATACGGTGTTTGGTTCTCCTGTGAAGCAGGATTAAGCTGTACTGCTTGGGTTGTCACGGGAAAGTGTGAATGGTATCTAGTTCACCTGAGAACCAATGTAAAATTACCCTGGCCCACTAGGGTATATTATATAACTATAACTAACTGCCGTTACTGTATTAACGATCATCAGAAATCTTTAAATGAACAAGTTTTCTGTATATATTTTGTATTTAGTTATAAATAAGCTGTAGTATGTTTTGTTAGAACTTTAAAATATTTTGTTCGATTCCATTCGTCCTTATTATCAGGTACAATAGTGGTGAGTAATAATTACCTGAATAGTTTTTGATATCAATCTCTTATATCTCTAGTGTACAATTGTGCTGTAATTAATTAGTTGGCAAGAGATCTGCAGTATTATTAGACGTATAGCATTTGATTACCATGTTTTTTAGTAAGTTTCACCAAAGTATCTAGTAAAAAATAATGGTACGGATACTTTTTTCCGTCCATTACTTTACTTTACATTCATCATCATAGAATATACTCCTAGATTACTAAAGATCGAAAGTCTTTCGTCTCCTTGATTTCAGCTAATGCCATTTGGATCCGACAATATCAAACCTGGTTCTGCTACACAGATGCCGACTTTCACGGGAAGACCCACACATTCACACTTCTTTGCAATAGTAAAGGGACTGCCGCGCAATTTCAACAGGTGCATCACACTTATCATATTTGCTAGTGATGTCTTGGAACCTTACAAACATTCAAAAAGGCTTTTCTTGAGAGTGGAGATCTAACCGGCCTACAACAAAATCGAACTTCAACATGGCTCAGAAACAGAAATGTTGCTACAAATGAGAGAGCTCATTGGTAAAAAGACTTTTGAAGAGGACCTGTTTAGACAATTCTTGTTGTCTAAGCTTCCTCAACAGATGCAGAAAGTCCTTGTCTCATTTCAATACACACTGGCTGCATCTGCCGACCGGGTTCTAGAAATCACCAGACCATCCATCTCAAAGGCTTATTTAGACATAGAAAAGCCTCAGGCGACACGAAATGAGGTGACGGACCTTTGACATACTCTGATACGTTAACCAAATATTCGTCATTGCCGTAGAGGCTTCCAAAATCGTTGAAGGAGTACTCCATGAAAATTATCTGTCTCTAGATTATGAGAGACAGACGGCCCTGATTGGTGCCGTCACGACAATAAATGTGGTAATTTATCTCGAAGTTGCTGAAAACGTAGCAGTTTCTCAAGCTTTAAACCACCCGACACGAAAAAAGTTTCAGGAAACTTCCCAGCCGGGATGCATTTACGTCAACCGTAGCCGACGAGCATAGCTGTCTGATGCGGCGATGTACATTCTCGCAGAAGTTAGCGTTCATTTTGAAAGTCTTCAGCTTATAGGCGGCAAAAGGGAAACCGATTGCTACATATGGTAAGCGATATATGTATCTTAACGTGGTTTGACGCGAACCCATTCACTAGGTCTTCGTTGTCGCAGATGATTCTCTGTCAGTCATTGGTATACACATGCTACAATGCCATTATTTCCCCATCAGTGCGCGCAGACCCATGTCAGTACATGGAAATACTAATTTATCTGTTTATGTTACTTTTTTTCCTTAGTCACCCATACGCACATCATCGATCCATAATCTAAACAAAAACTCGACAAATATCATGAGATGTACCGAACGTGACCGAAATCGCCATATGTAGCCAGTAATCTTGCACATTACTTACGACTACAGGACAGCCTGTTTTCTCGAAAGTGTACCGATTAGCTACTGGAAAGTTGAAGTTGGCTATAATCGAATTCGATCACCTGATAGACTTAGGAATCATTCGGCCATCGAACAGCCCATTGGCATTTCGGTTGCATATGGTCTCTAAGAAGGACAGTAACGTTTGGCGTCCAGCTGATGACATAACAGACATAAAACACATTTCTGAGGCGGAAGATGTAGTAGCAATTCCTCATCTCGTATAACTTCCCTGAACCGATTTCAAGGAATCAACCTTCTCGATCTCGCCTGTCTCCAAGACAGGCACTGATCTTCAGTACGAATTATCTTCGACAACCTGAAATTATGCGTTGAAAGGACAAAAAACAGGTAAGTAAACTTTACCATATGACACATCAACAGACAGGGATCATCCAGTCGTGCCGAAATATTATCGACGCAACATCTTCACCACGTGGCACAAATTTTATCAACCAGGTCTTCGTGCAAACATCAAGTCCATAGTAGAACGGCCTGATACGAATAAAGACATGAAGAATCGGGCAAGCTCTTATGTAGGCTGCTAGAAATCTAAGGACACAACAAATGCACCTTAGGCTCTTTCACAACTCCTGACTCTCATTTAGTCATGTTCATCTTCATTTAATAGGACTCTTACGGATTCAGATGTGTACTCAGACAGTTCAACACAATGGTCAGAAGCGGTACACACCAGGGACATTACTGCTGAAACTGTGACCCACGCCTACGTCGAACGGTGGGAAGCAAATTTCGACAGCCTTTCAACTATCACCGCAGACCATGGACGGCAGTTTGAATCTGAATTTTTCCGTTGTTTGACTAAACTATGAGGAATAACGGGATTACGAACAACCGCGATCTGATGGGTAGGTGAAAGGCTTCACCGGCAGCTAAAAGAATCCCTATCAGCTGCAAATGTTTCACAGGAGACCGGCTCTCTTTCACTCATTTTACTCGGTGATCGCAATGCCGTAAAAACTGACAGCGGTTACACTGCAGCTCAACTCGCTTATGGAACGAAACTTCGGCTTGCAGGAGAATTCGTAGATCCCTCATCTTCTTTAATGGATATGGAATTAAGCTCCAACACAAGCAGGCTTACAAATGCAATGCGTTCAGTTAAACATGTTTCCACTCGACAGCAATTAACTTATGTTTTCGTTCAACCTGTCCTACGAATTAGTGCAAACGTCTTTGCACGCCGCAACTCACCTCGATAATCTCTCAAAAGAGCAAAAGGAAGACCTTTCAAATTCCTTCAGAATGAACCTCAGTACTACATCAGTGAAAAGAGTGGAAATAACGATAGTTTCAGCATAAATCGTATTTAGAAGAAAACCCTATTATAAAGATATTTATTGCGTAAGACACGAGTTAAACACAGTTATGATGCCTCACATGATAATAAATCATCATAGTTTTATAGCGTGCCATGTACATTGAAATTTGCCATTTTGTTTGTATTTACTACTCGAAGGTCAGTATATTTTTGTTATGTACATTGTATTAACGTGGACTTTAATTTTCTCTAATTATCCATGGATTTTTTCTGAAAAATTGCCAGTCCTTATCTGGCACGGAATGAGTTTGTATCTAAATTTTTATTTATTTTCATAAAGGTGACCATGGGAACTCTTTTGGTATGGATTTAATGTCCCAGTTGGTTAAACGAGCATTACCTGGAATCTATGTAAAACCTATCTCAACGAACTATTTTAACATAGAGGTAAACAATTAAAATTGTTTTCAAATGCATGTTTGTTTGTCTCTCGGTTGTACAATGAAATAATTTCCGATATCATAATTACAATAATTATAGTTAACGTTATATTCATGAGGTAGGCGAGATTATTAAAAATACACATGAGTGGAAAATATATGAAACGATATCAGTTTTTGAAAATGTTTTATCTCAATTTACATGTTTGTGAGATTTGGTTTTTGTTTCTGAATTAGTGGTAGAGATTCGAATAATATATTAGAGATGTTTGCACTTGCTATGTAAATTATCTAGGAAAATGCGATGACAACATTGCTCTTATCTTTGGCATTGTTAATATACACGAAAGCAGGCTTAACTACATTTATTTTCGTGGTGTCTTCCTTAACATTCTAGTCGACCAGTATGATTTAATCGTTTCTACTAATACATCTACAGTGAGCATTATGTAAAGGTCGTAAAGGCCGTTGTATTATCGACCGTTCTGAAATATACATAAATGCGTCTGGTCATTTGCTGTGAAATACACATCGTTGCTGTTGCCTTGAGAGTGTTTTTACGTCGTTTATGTGCTGTTTTAGACAGATTGAGATTTCAGCATCGTATTTGAGTATTGAAGACGGAAGGTCTACGTATTATGATTGTCCTTTTTAGTGTTCAGTCTTGTTTTGCACGTGTCAGTTGAAGAATGGGACACTACTTCTCCGAATTAAACATGCCAAAATTTGATGATTCGATGTGAAAACCTGTTTGACACATGCATTTTCTGTTCTTAGCTATTTGTGCTCATATGGTATGTCCTCCAAGTTCTTAGGTTCTGATAAGAAAATGAAATGACATGTCTCGTTTAAACTCATTTCTTAGTGTTCTATGCAATAAAATCAGACCAATGCTTAATGTCTTATAAAACAGAGTAAAGAAGTCAAATTTCTTAAACTAGTATGTATATCGTGAACCTCGAATCTCAGGAATTGCACGGGTTTTTGCTTTCCGTGGTTTTTCCATGATATTCAATCCACTTTATAAACCAAAGCTTGCAGCCTGAAGGCGATTTTCAAGTTCAAATCTCACTTAAGTTATGCTTAATGTAGTGAGCATATTAAGATCCAACTTAGTGAATGACCGTCTTAAAGTTCATAAAGTTGTGAACCACTTATCTGTAACCTCGTGGTACTGCACCGTGGCTTTAAGGCTGTAGCTCACTGTTACCAAACGATTATCGTGAGAC